CCCGTCCTGTAGGTGTGGCACTACCCGGAAGACGCCACCGGAAGCGGTGCACAGGAAGTGGGCGGAACGCGTTGGAGAAGGAAAGGCCGTGTGCACCAATGAGAAGCGAGAAGCCGCGCGGCTCATCCAATGGCAGAGCGCGGAGGGCGTGGACGCGAGGAGGCGGGGCAACCTGGATGGAGCCGGCAACAGGAGGCTGAGGGAGGCGGCCAAGGTGGGTATGGGGCTGCGGGAGGGGGAATGGGGCCTGAGGGGAAAGTAGGGCCCGGGGCTGCGGGGAAACGGGGCCGGGAGAGGCTAAAGGCTTCGTGGGGGTGAAGCCTGAGGGGAGGCTGAGGACTGGGACTAATGGGAGATGGGTCTGAGGGGAGGCCAAAGGTCTGGGGGAGATGAGGAGGAGGGAGGGTGACTGCGCTGTGGGTTCTGGCTTCAGCTGTTCCTATTTGCAGGCAGAGGCGGTACGAAAGGAGATGTCCTTCGCGTCCCCGCTGGAAGCAGGATGAATCTCATATCTATGGCGGCAGAGCCCGAGCTGAAATGGGTAGCCCTGTGGGTCCGAGTCAGGTGGGCAGCCGTGCTCGTGCTGCTGCTGGGCTCCCTCCTGCTGCTGCTGCTGCCGCTGCCTGCCGTGGAGGAGAAGTGCCATGCGGTGCTCAGGGGGCTCTCCTTTCTGAGGAGTAAGCTGGGCACCGGCTATACGGGCGTCACCAGGTACACGGGGCAAAGTACCGGGCTAAGTGTCACCTCGCAGGGGCTGGAGCTGCTGGTGCTGAAGGGCAAGGCCTCCCCAGGTGAGTGCGTGCCCCACCGCTGTGCGACTGTTGGACTGTGTGATCTGAGAGATCCTGAGTTGATGCCGTGATTCCAACCCCCCTGTGTCTGGGGGATCTGCATCCCCTGCCTGAGCATCTCCTTGTATCTCCAATGGTAGTGAACTCTCACTACCCCACTCTGAGCTGGAAATTACCAAGAGGTCACTCTTGCCATCGCCAGGCAGCAGCCAGGCTGCATTCCATGGCTGGGTACTGTGCAGGTGTTTCTGTAGTGCTGTGTCATCTCAGCTTATCCAGGTGCTTTGTGCAGTGGTGAGATGTGATGAGGTAATTGGAACACCAGCAATAACAGGCTATGGTCACTGGCTTTAGTGGACAGGACATTCAATTGGAAAATATTCAGAGGAATCATTATGGTTCCTGCATGGTATCATTCACATTACAGCTATTATTGCTGGGAAGATGAAAAACCTGTGCTATTAGCAGCTGTGGAGGCTGCTCTCAGCAAGGGAACTGGCATTACAGCCAACAGAATGTACTCACAACTCTGCGTCCTCCCATACACAGCAGCCTGGTAGCCAAAGCAAGCTTTGCTAGCATCAGAATCCTGCACCTGTGCCTTGCTATTTCCTGGCCCTGGTTCCTATCAGGAGCAGCTCTGCTGCTGAATGCTCTGCCTGTGAGCATGGCCTAAAGCCCTTGGGCTTGTGGCAGGAGTACAAGTTCTCTGCTGCAGGTCTTACAGAGAAGTTTCATTTAATTTCGTATCAGAGAACGGTGATAAGTCTCCAGAAGCTGTCGGTAGAACCCTGTGATCAAACTGCTCTTACTGTTGCATTTCAGAAGTGAAGTTAGAAGCCAAAGCAGCTCTGAACCAAGCCCTTGAAATGAAGCGCCAAGGAAAGCGAGAAAAAGCGCACAAACTCTTTGTATACGCCCTCAAAATGGACCCTGATTACGTGGATGCCCTGAATGAATTTGGCATTTTTTCTGAAGAGGAAAAAGACATTCTTCAAGCAGACTATTTGTACTCCAAAGCACTAACCCTCTCTCCCTGCAACGAAAAGGCTTTGATCAATCGGGACCGGACGTTGCCTTTAGTTGAAGAAATTGATCAGAGGTATTTTAGCATTATTGACAGCAAGGTTAAAAAAGTGATGGCGATCCCCAAAGGCAATTCTGCCCTGCGCCGAGTGATGGAGGAGTCCTACTATCACCACATCTACCACACGGTTGCTATTGAAGGGAACACTCTGACGCTGTCAGAAATACGACACATCATCGAGACCAGATACGCTGTTCCTGGAAAAAGTTTAGTGGAGCAGAATGAGGTGATTGGCATGCACGCAGCTTTGAAATATGTCAATACCACTCTGGTCTCACGAATAGGCTCCGTTACCATCACTGACATCCTGGAGATACACCGGAGAGTGCTGGGCTACGCTGACCCCGTGGAGGCGGGGCGGTTCAGGACTACGCAGGTGTTTGTGGGGCACCACATACCCCCACACCCCCAGGACGTTGGCAAACAGATGCAGGAGTTTGTGCAGTGGATGAACTCTGAAGATGCCATGAGTTTGCACCCCGTGGAATTTGCTGCGTTGGCCCACTACAAATTGGTTTACGTCCATCCTTTTACAGATGGCAACGGGAGGACGTCACGTTTGCTAATGAACCTCATCCTGATGCAGGCAGGCTACCCACCCATCACCATCCGCAAGGAGCAACGGGCAGAGTATTATCATGTCTTAGAAGTGGCCAACGAGGGCGATGTGAGGCCTTTCATACGCTTTATAGCTAAGTGCACTGAGACAACGCTGGACATGTTGCTCATTGCCACCACAGAGTACTCTGTGGGCTTACCTGAAGCTGATGGCAGCAGTGCTGGATGCAAACAAACCATCCCTGTCAAGACCTGAAGGTTGTAGGCGTTGAGAAGGCAGGGAATACATGGGTGAACAGGAAGCCATGCTGCTCAGAATTTCTGCTGGGAAGAGACTTGACAGGAGGTGTCACTCTTTAGCATTTCATTTATTTAAAGCCTGTTACATTTGGTTAAATTAATATAATTTATTTACATATATTATGCCAAGCTAAATTGTTGATGTTGACTGTGTGCTGTAACTCGCCTGTGCTACAGTAAGAGGCGGGGAAAAACATCAGAGGGGCTGAACAAACTGAAGTGGAAATCATTTTATTTTTCCATAAAATTAAGCATTCAGAAGCTGCTTCCATCACAGCCCTACACTAAGTCAGCAGCCTTGTCCTACCTTGTCATGGAGCTGCTAGGTGGGACAAAGCCTTAAAAGAGTTGTTGCTCTCATACTACCCCCTTCGTTCTTGTTCAGAACCCAAAGCCTTTGCAGTAACAGCATGCTCCCAGCTGCATTAGGCTGGCTTTCTCCTTCACTATGACACATTCAGCCAGAAAAGATGAGGAAGGCTAGCTGCAGGGTGGCAGTCGCATTTCTCCCCTTCTGTTTCTGCTTTCAGTAGCACTCTGCATATTTACTTTCAGTTGCCTTTCCTAGGGTAGTGTATGTGAAACAAATGGGAAGTGTTTGGTTTCTGATTACAGCCCATGTGACTGGAACAAGACAAGAAATGCTCTCTGACTTGTTTCACGGAACAGCAAGGTGCTCTTGGTATGTCTTCACCAGGACAATTTTGTGCTGAGACCCTGCTTCACACTGCCTCCCCAGAAGGCAGGTCCCCTGGGAAACTGCAGCTGTCTGCAGGTTTCTGTTCAGGCTTGAAAAGAGCTTGTTTCTGTAAGCTGCAGGCAGAAAAGGTCATTCCACATAGCCACAAGACTGCCTTTATCTGCTGGGCTGTTTTGGTAAGAATTCATATAGTGAGTTTACCAAAAACTTAAGTTTCCTTCATCTACACAAGAGAACTTTTCACGATAGGTTTATTAACTACCAAATCCTGTTATTCCAGTGATAAATGCATAAAGAACCACCTAAGGCCTCTCCCTACTGCAGTCTCAGTTTGCACAGCACCTGGAAGCTGCCGCCCAAGTCAAAGTGCTTTTAAGGTAAAAGCAGTTGCAGTTAAACATTGAAAGGAGTTGCTCCCTACACCCCACCTGCCAGCTGTATAAGTGCATAATTCCAGGTATCATCGATCCCAACACCTTCAAGCTCAGAAGACATGGAAGGAATGAATTCCTGTACTGTCCCAGGCCCATTTCTCTCCCCTTTAGCTCTCTTACCTGCAAGGTAATTAGGATACGTTTTATACAGCAAATAGACAACAAACCAAGACCAGGAATTACCTGTACACTGTAGCACCAGCCTCTCCTCATGTATTATTGCTGACAGAGAATGTGAACAAGTGTTCTATTTTTACAAAGCATGCTTATTTTTGTAGTGCATTGTGAGTATAAAAGTATTCTGCACTTTAGAGCTCTGGAAAAAAAAAAGACGTTCATTTTAATAACAGATTAATAAAGTATTTTAATATTAAGTCTGCAGTAAAATCAGAACTGCTCACAGCTCAGTTCCTGGAGTAGCAAGTTTTACAGCAAGTCCAACGTTAGCAACCCAAGGAAACTCCATTAATCGCTCCTGCTTTGTGCCTGCCTGACATCAGGGTGAGGTAAGCATCTGGAAATACCAGCCCCCACATTAAAGCTCCATATTAGATTGTTATTATACGCCACAAAGCAGATTGAGATCTCACGTTGCTGCTTCATACTGAGTGGTCAGCCCAAGCTCGTAGCACAGAAGCAAATGCACACTGTACTACAAACAAGCTCCACAGGAGGATTCAGGCCCTTGCTCTGTTACCCACACAACTGTTTTACACAGCAAAAACCTACAAAGCAAACCAAGTAAAGCCAAGTCAAACAAGCACAGAAAGTAAGCACTGAAAATAGTGTTTATTTGCAGCAGTGCTTATGTTGTACAAGTGAACTCGGTGCTGCTCTCCCCCTCACATTCAAACCCCCCACGTGCTGACTTCCAGTTAGCAGCATTTTTAGATAAGCAGTAATATTTCTATCCAAGACCATGTACCAGGTTATTTTCAAGTCTGAGGTGATTACTGAAGTGGTTTCAAGATACTCATACTAAATGGAATGAACTACTTAAAGGTATGCAAGTGACACTGTATCTCAGCGCACCTGAGAGGTGAGGTACATCAGTATTAACTAGCTGCCATAGGATAAGTGCAATTCCAACACCCACATTTCAACAAAAGCAACAGTATTTATAGAAAACCTTTGAGAACTTGAGTTTAATAAACTGTGAAACTTCAGCGTGCACTTCACATTTGTACAAAACCATACAGAAACCACCTGCAAAAGATAGATGAACTAGCTAGCAAAAAAACAACTAACAAAAAAATGGTCCTCAGCAAGAGCATGTACAGCTTTCATGGGGAAAAAATACCAGGTCTAAGTATTATCTCATGACACTTAAAAATAATCTGAATGTCTTTTACAAATACACAATATAAAAAACGGGTCAACTTGAACAGAACATTAACTGAATACATATATATGTATATTGTGTATATACATATACACAGAAATGTATAGAAACTCTCCCAATACTAAAATAGGCCATTGTGGTGAAGTTACTAGCATTTGCCATCTAACTCTTAATGGAAGGAGATCAAGGTGTGAACATGTTTCGGTGTAAAACGGGTCTGTCGTCAGAGAGAATGACTGCAATCACAATCTGAGCTTCTGACCAGTGGATCTCAACCAGGTTATGGCTAGGCCTTCACATGGCATCTCATTCTTTAATGAAAGAGAAATATCTGTAAAGTATTCAGAAAACGGTGTGGCATCCAACCTGTACAGGAAATGTTTCCCCCTCATTACCCTCAATATGAGGAATCACATAACGCCATTTTACCAGAACGTAGTATAACTCTTTGCTCTTAAAAAACAGAGGAAAGTGGATTTGTTCCATCCTACACTGATCTTAATGAATGCAGTAGTCCAGAACAGTATTTACATGTGATTGTGACTGGCGTTCTCTCCTTGCTAGCATAAGGACACAACATGGCTTCCATAAAGGCATTTCACATTTTACCAGCTCAGCTGATTGCTGACCATTTGCTCACTTGTTCAGCAGCATCTTGGCAAAATCAGCGTTGGACATCTTTTTAGGCTCCTCAGTGCTTTCAGACGAAGTTGCTGGTGAATTCTGGACCATCCCATTCTCAGCCTTAGCCACAGGATTACTCTGGCGTTGCAATGCTCGAGGCATCATGGAAAGCTGTGTCCTTCCCTTCCCTCGCCTGGAAAGCAAAAAATGGCACTTAAAAACATCCTCATGCTCTGTGAACGTACTGTTTTAGCCTAGAGAAACAGAAAGGGCTTTGTTTGATCCAGAGAACACTCCTTAAGTATTATTCTTGCCGTTTGTTTCAGTAGTAAGCAGTGCAAAGCTTACAGTGGATGCCCTTTGAAACAGCATTCCTAAACACTGACAGAAAAAAACGCCCAGCAGTTTCCGGAAGCTGAAGCTCCATGTTTTATCTACAGGGCAAAAGCAATTGCAAGCAGCAAGAGCACTTGGGAGGAAGAAAGAGCAGCCTCAGAACTCATTGTGAACAGACTTTGGAACTCTTTGGAACAAGAGGCTGTGGAAGTTCAAAGGGCTCAGGCACGAACACCAGACCACAGGACATCCAACTGTTGGTCACTACAGACCTATTTCTATTGCTAATGCAAAGAAGAAAAGTCTACTTCTCCATCAATCAATCATCATTATTATTTAGTACCTTGTTCCCTCACATTCCAGAGGGAACTCCTACGTTTTTGCCTACAAAGCAACCCAATGTTTGCTTTCAAGCACCCCCAAGCTGTCTCCCTTGCCAGCACTCACGCTCCATAAATCTGCCGTGGCACTGCAAACTGGGAGGCTCTGCCTGCCTCAGCCTTGTCTGGCAGCTTTCGGAGAGGTGGGTTACTGATTGCCACCTTGATGACGTGTTCCTTAATTGTCAGGCCATCCATTTTCAGCACTGCTTGCGAGGCCTGGGCTTCGTTTTCAAATTCCACATAGGCCAGGCCCTAAATAAGGACAAATGTAACCCATGTTAGTTTTAGTGCTTCTTCCTCTGTGTGACAGCTGGAAAACACCATACAGAAAGTGGAACTAAACACGGCCACAAATCCCAGTATTCTCTAAGATTAACTAAAGAGAAGTTCTGACCTATGCAAATCTATAACCTGCATTCTTTCTTCACATATAATTTGTGGAAAAGGTATTTAAAAACAAGATCCCAATAAAACGTAACAATGTACTGCCTCAGCAACAAGGCTTTACTTCTAAATATACATCATACATATATCCAGGATAGATCTGATATTGGACTGATTTGCATTCACAGGGGGTGAAAACACCACATGAATCCATGCAGCTAGAACAGAAAGATCCACAAGAACTCTTCTATGATTTTCCATTACACTACAGTTTGCATCTATGGAAGGAAGCCCTAACATAGGCTAACCTTAGCCATAACCTTAACCATAACTAACATAGGACCACCTTAGTTTCATGGGGAGCAAAACCCACCCCAAGCAGCAATAACAACACAAAGGCACTGCTTTTAAGTGACTGGAATTGCTGCCTCCAGAACAGAGATGATGACAAAAGCCTTCTTTGCAGGAAATGAATCCATGTTGCTTTCACAAGGTAACAGCTGCTAACCACCTGCTGCTGGTACACCTGGAGTAATGGTGTCTTGTTTCCAGCAGAGCAAAGGAAAAGGCCCCCCTTGGCATCTGCTGTGCCAGGCTGCTACCAGGGAGTGCACTATAGCTGGGAGGCATCACCTCCCAGTTCTCTTATTGCTATTCTGAAGTTGCACTCAAACCCTTATGCTGTGTTTTTGGATTAGCCAGCTTCACAGGGCTGGAAATACACCAGGATTCATACAGCATTCAATTCTAGAGTATTTGTTTGTGGTTTAAATAAAATCACAGCTCTCACAGCAGAGAACATGGACTATACAAGGCTTGGGACACCAAAAGAGAACTCTTTAGGAGATATGCACCAACAGGAACTGTCCTTCAAATATTAAGTTAAAAAGAAGTTAAAAATCCAATTTAAAATGCATACACATCACCACCAGGATGGCACCTGTTGGAAGCACCCGACATCCAGACAGGGCAGAGCTTTCAGGTGGAATTTTGGCAGAACAGCCACTGGTTTAGTTCTTAGTTAACAAACACCCATTTATTCCAGCATGGAAATAACACCTGTCAGAAAGGTGTCTCATTTCTCACTGGCAAATCCATCATTGCAGCAGGTGCTCTGAACAATAGCATCAAGAAACTGAAGATAGAGGAGGAAGGGAATCAGTTACAACAAGTGAACTCTATCCAGTCAGTTACTTCAGAAACAAACATTCTTTGCAGGTTCACTAATGCCTCCTTTTTATTAAACTGAGAATGCTGTAGATAATCTTCCCCCCTCCCCATTTACATCACACACTTTTCTTAGGCAACCAAATGAGCATTTCAGAAAAAAAATCTCATTGTCCTCTTTTTCTTATCTGTTGGCATAAAACCACATGTTGTATAAAGGTTGACAACAATAATTATTCAAGGCATTTGCATTAAGCTGTAAGACCTACTTTTTGTACCCAGATCTTACGAAAAGTTTCTTTTTGAAGGATTTCATTGAAATTAAGAGTGCATTAATGATGCCTACCTTGGGTTTTCCAGCTCGGTTGGTGACCAGCCTAATGTCTCTCACATTCCCATGGGCTTTACATATATCTTCCAGCTCCTCCTTAGTGCAGGAAAATGGCAGACCAGATATAAACAGCTTGTGTTTCTCCAGTGTAGTACTATACCTGAACACCTGAAGAAATTAAAAGGCTGTTAGTGCTCAAATCATTTAGAAACAAAGGGAATTTCAACCTATTATAAAATACTCAGGCATTTGAGGTTATATTTCTGTGATTAAAAATAACAACAACCCACTAAAGCCACAAGCAGCACCTTGACAGATTGACAGTGGTGCTCACTTAGGAAGCTGGTACATGGTACATCACACCATTAAGGTGCTCAGATTATTCAAAGATCCACAGGAATCTGCTAACATCATTCCTAGTTTATGGCAACATCACACAGTATAGAAGAACTAGAAAATGCTGAGACATTACCATTCCCAATTAATACAAGACGAATTCACTAGATGCAGGCAGTCTGGAAGCAGAACGTTCTGCTAGCTTTCCAATGCACTCCCACTATTCAATTGATTCCTTATTCCACCATATTCAACATACTATTGAAAGAATGAAAGTTTACCTTGAAGTCTGGATTCTTGTTCTTGTCAACACAAGGAGAAACAAACATGGGTCTTCCCTCCACGACTTTACGATCCAGCCCAAGAGCCTGCAGAGCAGACTTCTCGTCCTTGAACTCCACATAGCAGTAGCCCCGGAAAGTCCCCTTGTTGCTGAAAACTGGACGGATTTGAGCAACCTCCCCACAGCTCTCAAAGAGCTCTTTCAGTTTTACTTCAGGATCTGTCATGTTGTAGGAAAGGTTGCTGACGAAGACGGTGATGTTGTCTTTGCTGCTGTCATGCAGAACTTTGGGGACGTCTTTTCGGCTGGTGGATGGCTTTTCCTTCTGGTTTGTGGAGTGATCTGGTTTCTCAGGTCCACTTCTTCCAAACAGCCCAGTTTCCAGCTCCATGTCTTCTTCAAGAAGCAAACCATCACCATCTCCCTTATGTCTCTTGCTGGGTTGCTCTGCAGATGAATGGAATTGAAAGACTTAATAAAGAAGTTAACACCATTTCACTTCCCACTCAAATTAGTTTGTCCTCCATCACCAACGTGGAATCTGCAAATAGCAAACATGAATGAAATCAAGAACACAATGACAGATCCCACAGACAAAACAGAAACTTCCCTCTGGTTCTTATTAATAGTTGATTACTTGCCCAAGACAGCAAGGACTTAAATGGAAGCACCAATGATACTTTCTCTATTTTTCCCTCAGCTACAACTACTGACTCATGTTCTAAGAGGTTCTTTATTAAAAAAAAATTAAATATCTTAAAATCTTCTTATCACCTTCCAAAAGACTGCTACACAACCGAGCAACCCAATTTAGCCTGATGACTCTGCATCATTTGATGAGTTGAATCATTAACAAAAATAAAAATCAACACATTACTCATCTGAAGTAATAAAGATCTTTTAAAATCCATAATAGTTTTTTTTAAAACATTCACTTCTGGCCAAAAAAACATTTCGTCTTGCTTTCACTTCATGACATAATGAAGATTTCCTTGGAAAAAGAGCACCTGAAAAGACAGCATCTCTAAGGGCAGTGATGGCACCTCCCCATCTGCCTTTAACTTCAGGCAGACACCTGTGACCAAAAGATTTAAACTCTTTTTTCTTTATTTTCCTTGTTACCTTCTTCCTCTTCTTGTCCCCATTCACCCTCATCATCATCATCTGCTTTGCGCTTTTCTCCAATCCTATTTTTCTTCGCCTTTTTGGAAGCTTTCTTTTCCGCTCGAGATTGTTTTCGTTGCTCAGCTTTCTCCTCCTCCTGCCTTGCCAGAGCAGCTTCCTTCTCAGCAGCCTAAAAACACACAAGATTTTTTTAGGTGACTGCAGACTGCAGAACATTCTCATATGCTGTTTTTTTCTTTGCTTTTTTTCTCCACTCAACTTGGAAGGTTTTCTCCAAAGCTACATTACACAAACTAATAGGATCATCACTGAAAGCACATCTCAACTGTCTGCTCTTATAGCTTTCCTGGAGTGCTCACATTATTTGTGTATTCAACCGAGTGCCAAAAGGTGAATTAAAAACAACAGCATCAAAAATAAATTAATCACACTTTAAAATGAAAGTCAATACTTCTGAAGCTTTAAGACAATTTGGGCTTATCTACATGAACCAACGTTAGAAATCTGACATTCATGGCTCATCAGCAGATATTTCCAATAAACTGCTTATATAGTTCACAAAGTTCTGACCTTTGCTCTCTGTTCATTAACACGAGCTAATCTGTTTTCTGTTTTCTGAACAGCTGCATCCCAGTCTTCCAATGTTCCTAAAAGATTTAACAAAAAAAAAAAAGCCTTGTATTCAGCCTTACAATAAATTGCAAACACAATTCTAGAAAAATATGAATCACGGAGTTCTGTCATTATTCATGACAATTCTAAATATAAATGAACAGCCTTCAAAGAAAACAACACCTAATCAGAGCAGAAACCCCCCATTTGTCATACAGCACTTCAGAAATGCATGGAAAAATCCAATCAATTTCAGCTGGCTCTCAATCGGTCCAGAGAAGGGAAAGAAGTTTTCTGTCTGTCTGTCTGTCCACTGACTACACTGTAAAATGAAATGATGTGCAGTTTGTTACCTTCTATCCTTTCCAGTGTGAGCAGCACCTCGCAGACGTGCTCTGGATAGTCACTTGTGCACTGCACTGCTCGATGCAAGGCCTTCCTGCAGTGCTGGGTGTCACCATGAGCTCTACAGTGTAGAAAACACAGCAGTAAGGAGCCAATCCTCTACATGGTGACTGCAAAGCAGGACTGTCAGCTACATTCTATGTAAATCCTCCCCCTCCATCACCAGCTAGCTCACACTACGCTTTGTTGCTGCAATGTTTCTAAACTATACTCCATAGACCTTCTCTGATAACCTCAAAAGCACACCACAAACCCTCATGAAGTACACCCTTGCTGAGCAAACCAGACTTCTCTCAAACAGATGAGCAAATTAAGAAGAGGTTATACACACACAAACACACACAATTCCCTTCAGCCAAGCTCTCACCTTTCCAGGTTATAATATTCCAGCCACATGTTAGCATACTTGGCATTCCCTTTAGTCATAATGTTGTCCCAGAGCTCTCTGGCCTTCTGCATGTTATTACATAAGCGGGCCTGAAAAGCAGAACTCAACATGTTCAGTACAGTTTAGGACTATTTGTTAAGCACCACATCCATCCCTGCCATCCCCATCATCTCCTCACCAAACCAACCAAAGAACAAAGAACCCCAAGAAACCCCAAAAACTCATAAACATAAAAACTCAGCCCACCTAACTAAGCACACAAAGCCAGCAAACAGAATTAAACACCTGAGCTCATTCTATCACTGAGTAACACCCCCTGTGCCCACCTGCTGTATCGGTCTCAGTTTCTGGATCTCACATATAACTTCATTTTGATCATTATAAAGCATTGGAGATAATTGTTTCTGAACTTTTCCTTCTGTCTTTATTCATTCTTGTTCCTAATACAGCACACTGATACCAGTACTAGTTTGAAACTAGCTTGTGTAGGCAGCACTAAATTAAGGAGAATTCAAGGCAATTTCCAGAGTGAAGTATTCAGCTCCAAGGCACCATGGCTAGTCTGCTGATCAAGGTACTTGCATGTCTGTACTGCAGCACAGCCACAGCAGCAGAGACATTCTAAAAGCCCTGGTGATTTTCTCTAACAGACTGCTGTCCTCTCCAGGACATCCTGCCTCAAACCAGAGGCTACATTATGTGCAGGAATGGAAAAAGAAAGATTTACTCAATGAAGTTACAGAAACAAAATGAAAAGTACAAGAAGATTGCCTGCAATAGCTGGAATGCTTAAAGAGAAATTCCCTCTGGTCTAGCAATTAAAATAGAAAAGATAAAAGCATCACCTCAACCCTTGCCCAGTTCTGCATGATAGTACAGGATGGATCTCCACTTTCACTGAAGCCTGGGAAGAAAAATACTGTTTGTGAATGGCTTTTGGAAAAATTATTCTGAACAAAGCAGGTGAAACATTGCATGATTGAACTTACGCTCTTCTACTTCTTGTTTCAAATACTCCACAGCACGGGCAAACGCAGATCGCAGCTCTTCAAGTTCTTTACTGGAGTCTTTAGAGAAGAGAAAGAAATGCCTTACTGTTACCATTTTCATTTCTCATCCCCTAAAGCCTCTTCACCAACACCCATGTATGACTTTATTTTGGCAGGAAACGAAACAGGTACAACTCACTACTTCAGTGAAACTCAAACAGCAACAAAATTTAACACAAGCAACAAAGCCCACCAAGTAGCTAAAATATAAATCAGGGCCTTTCTGTGACAGCACGATCTATTCTTTCAGTAAGGAACTGCTCTAAAATAGTTGATTTTATAGACAATAACTGGGGGGAGAAAGTCGTTTTTGTGAGAGATACAAAGCTTGTGTTTTTCTGTATGCTTGTTTTTAATAGCAGTTCTGTGCATCTGAAATAGTGGCAGTAAACAAATGTATATTCAAACATATTGTACATACCTTGTGTGAAATCCACCCTTCTTCTCAGGTAGTCAAGATATGCCTGCCAGATTTCTACATAGTCTGTTGCCTGAATAAAGCCTGCATTCAGAGCCTTTTCAAACATGTCTGAAAGAAATGGAGGGAAAAAACCCACACAAACATGTATTTCCTTTTCCACTGTATTTCAAAGTATAGGACAAAGAAAATACAAGACGTAAATTAGCACACAGTGAATTAGTTAAGAAATTCAATGTAAAGCCAGTTTAACTCAGCAGTGTTCAAGCAAAGTTGAAATGAAGCACTTGCTCAGAAGTGAAGCTGCTCAACCAACACAGCTGTGACTCAGAAGCACACTACAGTAAATTTCATCAGTTTTAAGACTGCTACAGAGGGGTTGCAATGAATTCTACAGGTCACACATCATTTAGAGCACAGCAAGCAGTTCTGCACTGTAAAGAAATTCGGTTGAGATCATCTTTCCTTACCAGAAATAATGCAGTGATCAACTCCATGCCTCTCCATTGCCAAAAGATACTGAATCCAGAGCCCAACGGTCCAAGGACAGTTCCTGACAGCACGGTCATGGGCAGACAAAACCAACTCTTTCACTTTCAGCTGCCGGTCCTGAGATAATCACACACCAAAGTTTTAAGCTCCTATGAGCCAAAAAGCCCACCCAAGATAAATAACAGCTTAAAAAACTAAAACCTTAAAAACATGTATTTTATATTTGAAAGGTTAAAGACAGGATTGGTATTTTAGATTCTATACACATAAGAACTCAGTGAATGCCCTCAAAACAGAAAGGAGGAGCAGAACAAACAACAACTCTGTGCCATGTTAAGTCTGGGGAAGACATAAACAAAAACCCACAAGGAAAATAAAACCAAGATATTTTTTTCCTTCCTTACCAAATACTGATTGTAGCGTGCCCACAGGTCAGGTACAAGGCAGTTCTCAGCCAAAGCTCTCTCATAGATCAACTGAATGCGAGCTGGATCACCAGCTTTCATTTCAAAATCAATGTAAGCTTGGTATTCTGCTAGCTTCGGTGTCTCAGCACCCAGCTATAGGACATGAAAAATAAAAACCTTCTAAACAAAGCACGATTCAAACAGCTCAACTGACTCAGTAGGTCCTGCACAACACTTCAAACCTGAACTCGGCCTCTAAATATCAACAGCTCCACCAGTTTTAGTGCTGGGAATTACACTCCAGCTTTTGATTTAATTCTTAATTTTAAAGGAACGTGTAAGTAGCAACGTTACCAGTGCCTCTTCGTATGGTTTACACTTCTCCAACTGCTGTAGAGCTTTTTTGTAGCTCTTTATTGTTGTTTCTGGTATCGGATCTTCGGACCATTCCTCATACTCAGCATATGAAGCCTCCATATCTGTTAAAACAGACACAAAATCCCATCACTAATTCACTCTACAGACTAAATAATCATAATTCAACCTCTGCTTGATTCTAATGTGTTCATGTTTCTGTTTATAGTTTTATACCTTAACTGTCAGACTACCATGATCAAAGGGTTCAGACACTTTCAGCTTATAGGTGTAATTTGAACAAAAACTTAGAACAAGTTGCTCAAAATCATTAGCTTTTACTTTACAAAACCAAAGTTGCAAGATTTTCCCAGGGTTTTACAGAAGAAACAAACCTAGATTCTTCAATGTGGAAATAAAGAAATTTAAGACCTACACCACCTTTCTCCTGTATGCAGACAAAGCAGCAAGAAAGGGACTTGAAGAGTTTAAAGTATGAAACTGATACAGGAGGACTATCAATCCAGCTGTCAGCATGTATCGTTCACCTGTCAGCCAATGTTCTTACACAGTGAGCTTCTCAGCTGAATTCCTAGCTCCTAAGGGTCATGCTTTGTGCTAATTGTACTTTAAACAGCCTGAATGACCTCAAACCACGCACCATGGAAACACATAAACGAACAAACAGGAAATGTGCATCATTCAGGGGGCCCCAAAGACAGGCAAACACAACTGATTCATGAACACCCAAACACCCCAGCTGCAATCTGTGTGGCTCTACTAAAAGAATAATCACAATTAATGCCTACTTTGCCATAATACAGTTTCTCCATGCCAGCTCCCCAAGCACACAGGCTCTCACCTAACAGTGGGATCCCCAGCTGGCGCCTGAACAGCGTGTGGATCCTCTCAAGCTGGCTGCAGAGCATCTGCTGCTGCTCAGGTGACGGAACGCTGCCAGGAGCTGGCTGCAAACAAAAGGATTGAAACCGAATCAGCTTCCTCAAGCCTGAGCTGATGGACATGAAGGGGTATTGTTTATGGGTTGGGGATCTGGGCTCCAAATGACTACTACACGATCCTTGAAGGACACACATGGCCAACTTGCTGCTGCGAAAGGTAAAACTTGGAAACTGCTAGAGACAGAAGCTGATGAAAGTACAAAGCATCCCCCAGTGAAGGCAGACACACTGGGAAATGATAACCCGGAGAACAACAGTGTGTGATCATGCCAATTCACAAACCTACACTTAGGTTTTCAATAAATCCCTGGTGCTTGCAGAGATGATTTAAGACTCCAGATTCATTTTACAAGCAGAAGAGTATTCTGCTATTACTCTTCTGCTTGGACATTTCATTAGTGAACAACTTCCACATCTTATGTAGCAAGCTACAAGGAAATAGAAATATTCACATTCTGGTCATCTACCAAAGTCTGATGTTTCAAAAAGAGTGAAACAGTGAATAAATTCAACACTGAGGTGCAAGGCAGCCTAGAAACGCAAACACGATTGATTATGGGCAAAAGCATTCACTGGAAAGAATAATAATGCTTAATAATGAAGATACAGCTGAAAGGAAACAAGTGAGTGACACCACAGCCTCTTTTCTCCAAGGAGGCTGATGACAGAGCAGTGTAAGACTTCAGAAGCTCCACCACAACTTCTCACTGACAGCAGCCCACCAGACCAGCCTTACCTGTGCTGTCTCCAGGATGGCATTCTCAAACTCACGGTAAGCTTCCCACAGAGCTGTTCCTTTCGTCACGTGCAGCCCCACTGCTGTCAATGCTCTCTCAAATATTGAGCGAACTTTCTCAATTCCCCCTTCCTGACCAATGCCACCGATTGAATACTGGGCATATTCCAGCCAAATTTCAGGACCTAAACGAAGTTATGAGAAACAGGTGAGCTAACGTCCTCAAAAATAAAAAGGCATCTCAAATACTTATCAAAGACATAATCGTTTTCTTTGCTATTCAGTGTAGTAGACCTTTAAATGGTTTTTAACTCCCATGCTTCAGGAAAAGAAAACATTCCATTCTTGTATTTTTGATCCCATTTCTGCATTACAACATAATGAAAAAGCTTTCCTCAAAAAAGAAAATCATAACCTGAAGGCAGCAAATTTTATAGCACCTATTAACATGTATTAAAAACTTACAGATGTAGTCTTTCACAGCTCTCTCAAACAGCTCATAAACTTTCTCTCGCTCTGAGATTTCAGAAGCCATTTTTATCTCATCCTTCAACCAATCCAGCCAAATTTCTGAAACCAAGAAGTTTACAAATCACCAATGCTTGGAAAAAAAACCACAAACAAACCAAAAAAGCCCTCATTTTCAATGTCCTTTTTACATTTTCGGTTAGTTTTTAATAACAGTCTTAAAAATGGGAACAAAGACAATGGGAAGAGCAATTTTAAGTCCCCGCATCTACGCACAATTAATTTAAATGAAAATGTTGGTACTGATCTCTGGTGATCTCCATCATCACACTGATGGTGCTTATTCAGTATCAGCTGCAAGGAGAAGCAGCTCTGTACCTTCAGTAAGTGGGAAGAGTTCACTCATCTTCTGCCGAGCTCTTCTGAGCTTCACCAGCTCTCCCTCCTGGCGAAGCAGCTTTATCAGATCCAAGTGGCAGTTGTAGTCAAAAGCATTGATGGAAAGCTTTAAAAAATAAATACACTTTTTTGAAGGCACGCAGAAGTCAGAGAATATTTAGCAGAGCAGAACTTTACACTTTGTTTTGCGGCATGCAAATCCCCTCACCAGTTCATAGCATCACTAAGGCTGGAAAAGATCAGTATGACCACCAAACCCCAGCCCAGCCCACCCCCACCACACCCACTAACCATATCTCCAAGCGTCACATCTCCATGTTCTTGAACCTCTCCAGGGAAGGTGATCCCACACCTCCCTGGGCAGCCTGTCTCAATGCCTGACTGCTCTTTCAGAGAAGCAATCTTTCCTAATACTCAACCAGAACCTCCCCTGGCACAACTTGAGGCCTCACCTCTTGTCCCATCACTGTTACCTGGGAGAAGAACCAATCCTCACCGTGCAACAACCTCTTTTCAGGGGGTTGTGGAGAGCCATCAGGTCTCCTCTGAGCATCCCTAGCTCCAGACTAAGCAATCCCAGCTCTTTCAGCCTCTCCCTAGAGAACTTGTACTCCAGATCTGCTTCACAGCTCTGCTGCCATTCTCTGGACACGCTCCAGGGCCTCAATGCCTTTCTTTTAGCAAGTGACCCAGAACTGAACACAGCACTTGAGGTGCTTGGCCCTCACCAGGAGCAAGTACAGAGGGACAATCACCTCAGTGCTCAGTGCACACAGAACTGTAGGGGTCAGAAAAGACCTCTGAGGATCCCTCAATCCATCCACTCCATAGCAGGTCACATATGAAAGCACCCTGGTGGATTTTGAGCATCTTTAGGGAAAGAGACTGCACCACCTCCCTGGGCAGATGATGTCAGGGCTCTGTCAACTTCACAGTGAAGAAGTTCTTTCTCATGCTCAGATGGAACTTCCTGGGTTCCAGTTTGCGCCCACTGCCCCTCGTCCTGTCGCTAGGCATGGCTGAGAAGAGCCCGACCCCATCCTCCAGATTCCCACTCTGACAAGTACTGCTCCCTCAGCCTTCCCTTCTGCAGGAAGGGCAGCCCCAGGGCTCACTAGAGAGAAGCTGCAGGCCCCGACCACCGCTGCAGCCCTTCCTATAAGATCCCTTTTATAAAAGCTGAGCTTTAAAGTTCCGCACAAAGCTGAACTCACAGCCCTAAGAACCCCCGGGCGCAGACAGCGCTGAGCAACACCCACAGAGCCCTCCTCTGCAAACGCGTTGTAATTCCTTCAAAAATCAAGAAAGAAGCCACCATCGCAGTTTCTTTTCAACATGTAAGAGCTGCTCACTGAGACTCTCTCGCCCTCGAGCGAGAAATAAAATCAAATTAAAAGGGACAGCTCGCACTGCCGGCGCCCAAAGGTGACCGCATCGCCTCCGGAGGCGTTTCCAGGGCTTCACGACCAAAGCGGGGCACGGCCGGGCCCCACCTGCTCCTCCAGCCGTTGGATCTCCGCCTCGTTCTCCTTCTCCTCATCCTCGCCGTCGCCCGACGAATCCGAGTCGCCCTCGTCCTCCGAATCGCCTCCCGACTCGGGGTCGCCCTCTGCCATGCGCTTCTCCTCCTCCGCCGCCGCCGCCGCCTCGGCTCCCGCCGCCGCCATCTTGTTGCAGCTCGCCTCGCCGCCGGCCGCGCTCCGCTAGCCGCCGGGGTTGGCCGCAGCGTGCCTGTCCCAATACTGCACGCTCCCCACAGCCAAGAGAGGTGAGAAGAAGGAAGAGAAATTCTCTCGGCGAGGTTCCGCGCTTTTGCGCGCTCCGCAACCACAGAGAGCCGAGCAGCTCCGCGCGCTGCCCCTTGTAGTCTCGTCGGCGGCGCAGGCGGCGCCGCGGACACCTCGGGGCCTTGGCTGGCTGAGGTCCTTGGGAGGGAGGGGATGTGCACCGCTGCCAGGCGCGGGCAGACGCAAGATGGCGGCGCTGAGGGCAGCGGGGGCGGCGCTGCTGCGGCCCGGGCGGGGGGGCGGCGGCGGGGGTGGGCTACCATAAGAAGGTGAGGGGCGGCGGGGAGGGCTGGGAGGAGCCGATAGCGGCTTCTGGGGACTGTCGGTGATGCGTTCATCTCGCAGGTGGTGGATCACTACGAGAACCCGCGCAACGTGGGCTCTCTCGATCGCAACGCAAAGAACGTGGGCACGGGCCTGGTGGGCGCCCCGGCCTGCGGCGACGTCATGAAGCTGCAGGTGAGGGGAGCCTAGAGTCCCGCTGCGAGGCCCCAACTCGCAGCTGTCTCCCATCCTATGGCTTTGACATAGGTTTCCCTGTCACGTTCCCTCGTACCCTGAAGTCCCTCCCCAGGATCTAAAATCCAAAGACCCCCAGCCCTAAAATCACTCTCCTATCCCTGGCCCTGCGTGGGTGGTTCCTGTGCTTTGTGGAACTGAGCACCCCTCTGACGTTCTCACAGGTGGAAGTGGATGAGAACGGCCGCATCGTTGATGCTCGCTTCAAAACCTTTGGCTGTGGCTCTGCCATCGCCTCCAGCTCGCTGGCAACAGAGTGGGTGAAAGGGAAAACGGTAAGGGCTTGGCTTGAGGGCTGCGGTGAGGAGCAGTTACATATTCACACCTACCCCTGGGATCAGGGAATGAAATGGGTCTAAAGAGGTGCACTCCAAGTGTTAGGTACACATACAAGCTGAGAATGCAGTTTAATCTTTTCTGGCCTAATTTGTGAAGCAGCGTTTGCCTTTTCTGGGAACCCTCAGTAAGCTGTGAAGAAGCTTTCTGTGCTATACAACAATAAAAAAAATAGGTAATGAGCACTGATTCTGAAAGCACTTGTATAGTGGAATGTCTTTTGATGACCTCCATGTTTTTGGCATTTTGACAAGCAGAATGCTTCTGTATTACAATGGAAGGTAAACAGACCTAGAGCAATCAGTGACAGTAGTATGCTTTGGTTTATTAACCACCACTGCTTGCTGTGAGACGTTCCTTACATTTCACAGAATCACAGAGGTTGAAAGGGACCTCTGAGTATCATCTAGTCCAACTGCCCTGCTAAGGGAGGTTCCCTACAGTAGGTTGCAGATTTGCTGCTTGGGAGAAGCAGAATAAAAAGCAGAAAAATGAAAAGGTATTGTCAAAAGGCTTTTCTCATGGTAGAACACCATCAGCATCCTTTACTGCCTTCTCAGTTGGTTCCAGAGCCTTGAAGCACACTGGCAGCAAATGCCTGTGTAGTGTGTGTGTGCATCATGTGTATGCAAAGTGACTGATGACTGTACCCTACCCATACATTTCAGGTTGATGAAGCATTGAAAATCAAGAACACGGATATTGCAAAAGAACTTTGCCTTCCTCCAGTCAAACTGCACTGCTCTAGTAAGTAAAGAATCAAACAGGTTTTTATTTGAAAGCACCAGTGCTTTTGTGCGTTTTCCAAATAAAGTTTCTGCACACATAACAGCTAAGGCTGACCCACAGTGGTGGGTACTGCTGGCTGCTTCTGCTTGTATTGCATTCTTTGTTCTATGTGGCTTGTCATTGTTCTTGAAATGTCTGTAAATGACTGTCTTGTAAAAGACATTGTTTTATGCTTGCTTTTTCCCCCTCTAGTGCTGGCTGAGGATGCAATCAAGGCTGCCTTGGCTGACTACAAGTTGAAGCAGGATCCAAAGAAAGGAGAGTCTGAGCAGAAAGCAAACTAATTCATAAATGGACTGTAGAGGTTGTCTTCATTCCAGTTAAATTTGCAGTGCAATTATTCTAGCTTTTAATAGAATCCTGTGCACTACTCGAGAAGCTGTAAAATACGCACAACTCAACGCACAATGTGTCACTGCTCCTGTGTGTGTAGCCACCCTGGTAGTGCTTAAGTGACTGGAACGTGGGTATTTCAGCAGCCTTTGTCCTGTTGGGACTGGTTTTGAAATGTCAAAAGTGAAGGACTGCTCCACTGCCGGGAACCCCAGTAGCTTCTTAAGAGAGAAAGAATCCTGCTGTTCCAGCATTGGAAGGGCTGCACTTTTTTCTTCTGGAAATGTATAGTTTTGCCTATTGTTTTACAGAGTTTGGTGGGAAACATTGCCTTGGTCTTGATGTAAGATCCGCAGGTCACTATGTAATTCATTGCAGTATATAAGTTTTGGGTGGTTTGTCTGCAGCTGTGTTGGAGTTTGGTTTCACAATCTGTGACCTCTCACATGCTGTCTATCCCCTGCGTCATGCTGCTCTCTGGGAGGAGCTGGGATGCTTCAGCAGGCACTAGAGGGCACTGACTGTGTGACTGTGGGAGGTGAGCACATAGCAACTGCGGTTGGGTGCCAGGAAGCACAGACCCAGCAGCGTTGGCAGGTCTTGTTTGTGCTCATATCCTCCAATAGCAGGAGAGTTAACGTTGGAGCATCTTTTAAAAGCATTCAAACCCTTCAATTTGCTAAATACCGTTAAAAGAGATTAAATACACACTGAGGATTCAAACACAGAATGCAAATAGCTTAACTGGGATGTAATACTGAGGGGAATCTCCCTGGAAGACCAGGAGTCAGTCTGTACTCTCTGGGGGTGTCTTCTGAACTTCTCCCATCCCCTCCAAAGCAGAGCTAGCAGTCAGTGTTCTTGTTACTAAGCCAGGGACAGAAGGGGATCCTTACCTGCTGCAGGAGCTGATTTTGGATGCTATTTCTGACAGCCTCTGTTGCCTTTAGTAGTTTTAGGGCTGGATTCTCTTCAGCTGTGGAAGGAAGTTCAAAAACACAGCCTGGCAGATGCGCAGCTAAAGCTGCTTGAACTGCTTTGCTGGAGAGGTGAGTTGTGGAGAGAGCAAGGGTAATGCTCACTAAGTGAAAGATTTGCACACCCACCACATGAGCCGGCTCCCTGGGAGCGTGGGGCACAGCATCATTTCAAAACAAGCGTTTTATGGCCACACAGCATGGCTTACCCTCTGTTCTTCAGGCCTCCGTGCTCCCCTGTGCCTCACGCTGATGGCTATTTTCCAAGGGAGCGTTGCCACAGATCTTCAAATCAAAAGATAATAACACTTGAAAAACCTCCCCTGCTCTTACAGATTTAAAACATCCTCACCCCACACCCCGCCCTATCTTCCTTTCCAGTTTTCATACCTATATGATGTTTCACAGCTGCATTAAAAACAATGAGTTTGAAAAATAAGTGGCTCGTTCTGGTTTCTGTCTGCAGTGCAACGATTTTCTCAGTGCCCTCATCTGCCCAGCAGGACACGTGTTCTTGCTGCTGTGGTTTGTGGTCCCTCAGCTCAGCACCACCCTGTGCCCATTCCTCCACATACCGCTGAGCTGCAGGCTGGACTCTGGCCCTTGGCGTTGCCCCTCCTGTAACAAGGAATGCACATCATTCCCTGGGAGCAACTGCGTGTTTTGCCAGTCAAAAAAATAATAATCAGGGAAACTTCAGCCACCCATGTGCACTTTGGGACAGAATGGGTTGGTTGTGCTCATAAAAGCCCCTCGGGCAAAGAGCAGGAGGGAGATAAAAAGCCAGCACTCACTTTGTGCTGGGAAGGCATCTGGATGGCCATGTTCCCACCTGCGCTGTGGTTGTTGCAGGGATCTGGTGGGGCTCTGCTGACCTCTCCTCTGCCCCACAGAGCGCTGAGGAATGAGGTGGGAATCTCAGTGGGTTGCTGCCACGTCCCTGTTTGGGGGAATCCTTTGGTTTCCCTGCCAAATGCTGTCAGCTGGAGTAACGGGGATGCGTAAGTGTGGGGTTGCAGTGGTAGAAGGACGCAGGATGTTGAGATGTGAATATAAAGGCAAACAGGAACGTGAGGGGTAAGGATAAGTGACAGCAGATACAGTTGCTTTAAACCCAAGAACGATAGTAGTCGCAATCCAGGAATAAAAACAGAATCGCTTACCCCTTCCCAAGAATCAGGGCTCATCAAACCTGATGATCTCCAGGTAGAGATGCTTCCTTTGTGGCTGCCAGCCCTTAAATGAGGTTAGGCAGTGTAACCCAGGGTTACACAGGTGAATTGCTTCCACCTGCGCTCCCAGGGCTGGCTACACCCCTTCACCAGGTGCTCAACCACTGGGTCAGCCCATGACCTAATGCCTCCCATACATGAGGATACAGGCATGTGCTGCCTTCCTGGTACAGCAGACTCTTGCCTTCCATCAGCTCTTCCTGCTGCAGGACAAAGCAAAGTGACTGAATTCTCAAAGCAAACCAGGGTGAGATCAGGAAACAAGCCTGTGTACATCTCTCCAGAGAGGATCTCAGCCCAGAGCTCTGCACCCTGGCGAGGCAGCGCCGTGCCCTCCCCACTCACACTGCTGTGTGACTCTAGATAACGGTTTCTGAGAATTGCATGCAGATTGTGCAAGTGATAACTACGTCCCCTGGCTCTGAGGGTGTCACCAGCAGCAAGCACGCAGCTGTAGGGAGCATAACTCTGGGAAGGATGCTGTTACAGTTTTCTAAACAAAATATTTTGCTGCCTGCTGCAGAGCAGAGCCTCCCCTGCCCATCCTGATGTCCCCATGCACTGCCAGGGAAGGATGGCACTGAGCCCATGGCTTGCCTATCCTGACAACTCAAGAAACACACACGAGAGGAAGAAATGTGCATAATAGATGTCTTTATTCATAGCAAAGGGGGTTAAGAAAATAAGGCAAAACTCCAGCTCCTCTCTGAGCTCTGTTCACTGTGCTTTCCGACGGGTCTGTGACATTCAGGACATGCAAACAAAAGGATGGGGGCATTGTCACTGCATCCTGCTAAGGTTGGCTAAGGTTTTCCTTTCTTTTTCTCACCAAAACAAGTCCAAAATGCCTCCAATCTCCACAAAGCACTGGGGGGGGGGGGGGGGGGGGGCGTTGGAAGAATGGGATGGGAGCAGCTGATCCGAGGGGTCTGCAATGTCTCTAGGCCACCATAGAAGGTCATGAAGTCATGGGTCATGGCACCTCCATGCCCTGTTACCTGGGTGGGGGCCAGGATGCGATAATGAGCAAAAATAACATCTGCAAAAAAGCTGTGCGAGGACGGTGGGGAGACCCAGCCTGGGTTTCTCTCTTTATTTTTGGGGGGGGGATCCAAGGAAAGCACCCATGGAGAGAGCACAAGCGATGGGTTTAGCTGCACTGAGCTCCTCAACGGCCCGAAGCGCAGCTCAAAAATGGCCTCCCATGGCTGTATGGGGTCAGGGGGAGGTAAAGAAGGGGGGTGTGGGGCTTCATCGGGGCTTCTTCGAGCCTCCACGTTCGGGTGGGCGGTGAGCAGGGCCGCCAGGAGACCGGCTCCTAGTCCATGGTTGGCACTAGGTGCTGGGAGAGCCATCTTGGACCTCCTTGCCCTCTGCTTTTGTTGCCTCTGACCCCACTCCTTCAGCATCTTGATTCAGGGGATGGGGCTCAATGGGATGCTCGCTGCCTTCTTCCTCCCCGCCCTCGTGCTCTCCCTGGGCACCGGCCCCGTTGGTCAACGGCGCTTTATTGGGAGATTTGAGGTTCTGGGCTGCAGCCAAGATGTCAGCCTGCAGCTGTCGTCCACAGTCCAGGGGCTCCTCAGCGTCGGGGTCCGGAGCCTTCTCAGGCACCTCGTTGAAGTCCCGAGGCCCTCCAGTCTTATCCCGTTGGTCCACGTACTTCTTTTTGGGGAAGGAAGATGGGTAGTAGGCTGACGCCTTGTGCTTCTGCCGCACGATGACGGCGGCGCAGATGATGAAGAGCAAGACGAAGGCCAACGATCCCACCACCACCACCAGCAGCATGTACTCCTTGAAGAAATCCACCAACCCATCCAAGACGTTGCCCGGCGCCGAGCTGTTGGTGATGGCTGTCCCCACCGCGTCCCCCACTGTGGGGCCGCTTCCCGGCGTCACGGGTTGGGCGGGGGGCACAGCAGAGGCCTCCTCTCCATCCCCGCTGCCAACACTGGGCTCGTGGAACGCAGCCACGTGCCGTGGGGCTGCCGAGTGCACCAGGGCCACCAGAAACACCAACAGAAGGCACGCGGGCAGCTGCGCCGCCATCGCCCTGCAGAGAGCAGGGGGACAGCAAAACATTAAGGCTTACTGGAGGAAAAACCCAAACCCCAAGCCAAGACTGCGTCACATTGACCCCAACCCAAGCAGTGCATTGACCCCCAGCCACACACAGCTGAAATTCTTCAAGAAAAGCAAAAAATGGACTCACTGCAGTGGTGAGGATAAGCAAAGTTTGTGTTTGTTTTGCGAAGAGGGGCTGTAAAAATAGATGGAAAGCAGCCCAACGCGATTGCTCAAGTCATGGGGACGCTGCGTGCGCGACGAGGTGACCAGGGTGAGAGCCAAGAGCTGGCTGCAGGCTGCCTTCGTCTGGTTTGAAAATTCCTGAAAATTGAGGTTTCCAAGTGGAAACTCTGACACAGATGGAGCCGCCGCATTTCCCAACGCTCGTCCCAGCGCTGCGCGCTCCAAACGGTTCCCAGCCTGAGCTCAGCTATAAATAGGCTGGCAGGAGCTCAACCGGTACCAGACACAGCACATCCCCCCAGGCCCATCTCCCATCCTTACACCCCCAAATCCCGACCAGCTTGGGGTTCTCTCCCCCCAGTCTCAGCCTCCAGCCGGAGCTCTTGGCGCTCCAGCTCTCTCTGGCTGCAGAAATCTGGTTTGCATTAAAGCAGCGCGTGCACGGGGTGGGAGGTGGCCCTGCAATCCCTGCTGGGAGTTTGGGGGATGCAGTTTCAGGATTGGGGTGCGATCCCATGTCCCAGGAATGTGACTTTGTTTGCAAAAGGAGCCAGCAGCTGTAGAGTCAATACACGAAACCCAAATGGGTGACCACTGCCGTCTCCTTGTCCCCATCCCCACCATGTGGCCCCATCCCTGGCTTTGCCACACCAACGCAGATGCAACTCTGCTTTTCTGCAACTCATGAATTTGGAGATTTCGGTGCTGTGCAGACATACTATCCTCCAAAGCAGCTGCAGCCCCATCCTGCACCCCAAAAGCCATCAAGCCACCCAAAAAATTGGAGTTTGAGCAGAAAAGAGAGCACAAAGCATTAGAAAGTAGGAGCTTTGGGGAGAGCAGACTCCATGCAACAGACTCGGGGTTCAGAGGGCTCACCTCACCGGCACTGCGTGTCTGTCCCGTGCTCCTCTGCCTGTCTGCACTGAGCCCTGGTCCCGTTCCCTCCTCCTCCTTTTCTTCCTCTCCTCCTCCTTCACCCGCCGTAGCCCTGAGCTCACTGGCTGTGTGCGCAGCAGACCAGCTTGTTCTCATTAGGGCCGTGTTGGGGAGGGAGCAGGGGGGAGGCTGGAGAGGGGCAGGCGGCCCCCAGCCCACTATGGCTCCCTCCCAGTGGGGCGGCCCTGGGCTGGGGGCTGCTCAATGAAGGGGGTCACCTTCCCCACACTCCTTTTTGGGATGCAAGTGAGGAAAGGGGGGTGTGAGGAGGGGTTTGTAGCAAGGGTTGGAGTTAACAGCGTGGTTCCTTCAGGGCTACGTGCAGCCCCAAAACGTGAGCTTTGCCCCCATGCAGTTTCCTTTGGCTGCAACCCAACCTGGGGCTGGAACCCATCCCTGTAAACCTAAGTCTTGCCATGATGTGGGCTCAGGACACATGGTCCTGCAAAGCATGATCATGCATCTGCCTTGGAACAAAAGGGGATCAAAACTGCACGCAGAGCTCTGCTCACCTGCCTCACCCATCCCATCCATCCCATCCACCCCATCAGTCCCATCAGTCTCTTCCATCCCATTCATCCACCCATACCATCCACCTCATTCACTCCCTCCATCACCTCCAGCTCATCCCCCCTTACACCCTATCCACCCTGTCTGCCACCAGGCACACCAAAGATGTCCATTCTGCCACCCCCTTTCAGCTTTGGCCTTTCCCTGGAGGCCAGATTGTCACATAGCTCCCATCATCCCGTGGCAGAGCAATGTCCCCAGGATAGAGAGAGAGTTGGGAGGTGTTACCCTGAGATCCACAGGGATAAGGATAGGGATGGGGCCCAAGACAGGGACAGGGATGAGGAGGGTTTGGGGCTTGGTTCCCCGAGACTTTTGATGGCTCACATTGTGGCCTTGAGGTGCAGAAACATCTCCAGAATGAGGGCATCACCCATCCCACCCTTCTTGGCCCCTCATCCCCTCCATTGCAGCTGAAGTAACTCAAGCAGTGACCTCATCCCCTTGCTATTTGCATCCCGCCTCCCTGGGGACCCTGCCAGAATCCCCCTAAGAAGCCACTGCTTTGGGACCGCAGGGTGGGGGATGAGGGTGGGCATCTCCATTCCTGTCCCTGTCCCCATTTCCATCCCCGACGCAGTTCAGGTTTCACCCGGCGTCACCCCCTCTCTCCCAGAAATAATGCATCTGTCCGTCTGCCTGCAGCCCGCCGGCTGCTCACAGCTGCTGCTTTATCCCGACCTTAAATTATCTGCAAATCCTAAAAGGGAGAGGAGAGCCTGGGATGGAGCCAAGGCCCCACTACGTGCCATGTGTCCCCATTCCTCGTCTCAAGGACCATGGGTCCGTGATGAGATTTGGAATAAAGCAGCACTGGGGAGCACTGAACCACTGTCCCTGTCTGCAAAGAGCACAATTTGGGGTGGTCCCTCTGCCAGCACCCACCGACCATTACGATGCTGTTTTTGGGGACTGGGCAGGGCAGCACCGCCCAGGCTGTGCTGTGTAATTTGGGGCAGATGAAAGGTAGGGGCCCACAGGGCTCGGCTCAGCACAGCCCCGAGCCCAACCAGCAATTTGGGAAATTTCGGCCTTGGTCTGCTTGTAATTTGCTCCGTTGGGTTTGCTCTTTGCTGTGGCAGCAAAATAGCTGGGGGGGGAACCTCATCCTGCAGGGCTGCACCACAGCGTGCGTGGCCATGTGGGCAGCACAGCAGTGAGCCACAAAGCAGCCTGCACAACACAGCACTGTGCTCTGCCCAGCACTGTGCACAGCCACTGCATCCCAAGCACGGTTCTGCCCTTGGAGCCAACCTGGCCGCTGCCCTGTGTTGTGGCTCAAGGCATGGGGACATCCCATCCTACACCCTGTCCCTCGCAAGGAGCGTGGCACCACATCCATCTGATGGCAGACAGCTGTCATTATGGAAGAGCAGCTGTGGGGTGGCCCCACCACGCCATCCCCGCTGCACCGGCCCTGCAGCCTCACCGTAAACATTTACATTGAGCGAGGTGGAAAATATTCAAAGCAGAGCGTGAATGTAAACACACAGAGGCCAGGGCGGGAGCGGGATGGCCACTCCTCTGCTTTCGAGGCACGGATGCATTGGGGCACAGCACTTGGGGAGGGGCTTCGCTGCCCAAATGCAGCTGCAAACGGTGGTGTGAGCAGGGTGGTGGGGACATGGGGACAGGGCGGGGGGAGAGGGCTGAGGATGGTGGGAGCAGGATGCTGAGCTGGGACAGGGATGGGGAGATTGGGGATGGAGTCGTTGGGGATGGTGATGTTGAGACTGGAAGAGCAGGGGTGGGGATGCTGTGCCCAAATGGCACATGGATGGGGATGCAAGGATGTGCCCATGGAGGACCAGGATGGTGACACAGGGGCACAGCCCTATGGTGGGGCAGGGATGTAAGCCATTTTTGCTCACTTGGGTGACTCCTCCAAGCTGAGCACAGGGAAGAGGTTGGGTTGATGACTCTAGGGATGGCCAACACCTCCCCACTGGGACAAGGTGAGACCAGCATGGTCCCAGAGTCCTCTTCTCCCCCTGGACACAAGGCCAAGAGCCCACAACCACCACCTGTGGGTATGGGATACAGGCCAGCAGCACCCTACCAGCCCCAGTGTCATCCCCTTGCCCCATTGCATTTGACTGCAGGCAGGAGCATGTTAAGCCACAAACACACCCACTGCAGCACCACCACCCTTTCCACTCCCAGCATGAGGTTGGGAACCCTGGGATCACCATCTCCATACGCTCTGCACCCTGGGAGGGTTTCATTTCTGCTGCTGCCATCAGAGGAGGAGGATGGAGAAGCAATATTTCAGGATGGGGATGTGGGCAGGCACTGAGAGATCACCGCATCTGTGTAGCAGAGGCATTTTAATGGGGTGGATGAGTCTTTTCCATACAGTTCCAAGGCGAACAGTGGTGGCACCAGCAGCGGACCCCACGCTGTTCCATCACCATGATGCTTCAGGAATGCTCCGGCAGAAAGCTGCTGAGCGTCAGGTTATCACCATCAGCTTCGGAGCTGGCATCGACCAGCAGCCTGTGACGCACAGGGATGCCACGCCGGGGACCATTGCTGGCAGCACGCTCGCTATCGGGCAGCAGGGAGGAAATACAAATCATCTCGGTGGGGCCGAGCTGCCGACGAGCCGTCCTCACCCGCCGCCAAAGCAAGGTGCCCAGCACTGCCGTGCACACCATGAAGAGCCCGGCCACCAGTGCCAGCAGCAGGATGGCCAGCAGGCACTTGTTCATCAGCGAGCTGTTATCCCACAGGTCATCGGAGGGCTCCGACGCTGTGGTCCCCCATGGTTTCGTGGATAAAGGTGTTGTGTCCACCTCCCATGGAGGGTGAGAGCCAGTTTTTTTGGAAAATGTGGTGGTGGGGAGAAGAGCTGAGCCTGGCTCCGTGGAGATGTCCGTGTCACTGGTGACGGTCCCATCCGTGCCATGCCCTGTGGATTCCATCAGCTGGTTGGGCACAATGGTGCTGCTGCTTTGGGGTGCTGTACTGGGCGCTGTCTCAGGAGAGTCAGTCTCATCCGAAGGATCCATTGTGGTGACCACCAAGGCCTTGGCTTTGCTGGTGCTGTCGTTCATCTTTGATGTCAGCTCCAAGCCCAGCAGCACAGTGGGCTCAGGGGTGTTGGTCTCATTCAATGGATTCACTGTGGTGACCAGCGAGGCCTTGGCTTGCCTGGGGGTGTTGCCTGGCTGCGGTGGTGACTTTGTGCCCAAGAGCTGAGACTGGGGGGAATCGGTCTTACCCAAGGAACTGGCCGTGGTCGGCACCAAGGCCTGGCTGGAGGTGTTGTCTGCCTCCGTGTCCAGCAGTGCATAAGGCTCAGCAGAGTCATCCATTTGACCTGCTGTGGTGACCACCAAAGGTTTGGGCTGCCCAGTGATGTTATCCGGCTCCATCAGCATGTCATGCCCAGGGGATGCAATCTCATTGCTAACAGGCATCACAGTGGTGCTGTGGGGTCCAGCATCAGCTCTTCTTCTGCGGAAGGGCAGCGGGGGCTCAGCCGGGATCTTCTCTGCTGCCCCCCAGACCCACTGCAGGTCCTGCTGCGTGGGCCGGGGCCTGCAGTCCTGCAGGGTGCTGAGCAGCAGTGCCAGCAGCACAGTGTAGCCCAGTGCCATGGGACCTGGGGAGGACACATGGGGTGGGTGAAAAGAGGCCCCTCCACCCGAGCAAAGAGAGTTTGCAAAGGGAAGTGGAGAGGCTGGAAATGGGAAACGAGCTGTGATGGAGACGGCCGCTGTGAGAAGAGTGGGTGCAGGAGGGCTGCCTGAGTGGAAATGAAAGTGTGGGGATGGTACGGGCTGCAGATTGAGAACCCCCAGTGCCTTCCTCCCCCTCTGTGCTGCCAACATAATGCTGGGGGCATCCACTCAGAGCAGGATTAAAACCACCCAAACCCACCTGGCACTTAGCAGTCCCCAAACAGCTCACATGCAGCCCCAAAACTGCCCCACATCCGCCCTCCTCACATCCCGGTGAGCAGCATGGGGAAGAAGGTGACAGCCCCTGCAGACTCTATGCATCCCCTGGGCACCCTGCTCCATCCCCATGGGTTTTGAGGCTCACCTGTGCCGGGGGATGTTGAGGGACCCCGAGCTGCAGCACCGGTGGCTGTCGCTGCTGAGGTCCCAAACCCAGGGGTGTCGTGGGCTGCGCTCCGCCTGCAACTCCCCAGTGAGGCAGGCAGGAAATGTGGCTGCGGTTTTGGAGCCTTGCAAGAAGAGGACGTGACGCTGACACCGGAGGCCAGGGGGCTGTGTGCACCCCAGAAATCAGCCTCCTGCTCCTTTACCAGGATGATGGTCCCGTGGCTATTCCACTGCCCTGCTTCTCCGAGCCTGCACGCTGGGGCTTGTGCTCAAAGCACAAGTGAAAGCAGAAGTGATAGGAAAGGCAGTGCAAAAGCTGGCAGCGCCCATGGCACGGTGCAGGCACAGATCCCTGAGAGCTGACCCCATGGGATGGCACAGGGGACCCCGTGTGGAAAGGAGGAGGGCAGGGTCTTGGCTCTATGCATTCACAGAGCCCCCACACCTAAATGCTTCTCCTTGCACCCGCCCAGGGCAGCACTCAGGCTCACAGAGCACAGGGATGCTGAGGAGGAACCCGCCCTGACCGCAAGCACCGGCCCAGCAGTGTGCAGGAGCTGCACCCGCAGGAAGGGTGCTGCAAGAGCACATCCGCAGCACACACCCTGCATCCAAAAACAACCCCACCACAGCCCTCTGCCCCAACACAGGGGGCAGTGCTTGGCTGCATCCACCCCAAAGCTTCTGGGAAACCCCCGGGGCAGGGATAGAGCATCATTGGGACAAGGCCAGGGCATGCACAGGCTGCGAGGGAGCATCTCCTGCAGAGAGCATTCCCATCTTGCCCTCTCAGCAGCCCCCAGCTGTGCTTGCAGGGGAACCACCATCCCTTGGGGCCACACTGGGCAGAACGCAGAGTCCCAGAAGAGGGGTGGCTCAGCCCACTACTGGGTTTCCATTGCTGTGGTTATCCCGTGGTGCCATCATTCATCAGAACCCACACCCCAACCCCACAGCCCCCACACCTGCCTGGGACCAGCTCCAAGAGGGGAACCGGGCACGGCTGATGACATTCCCCATCCCCACGCCTTCCTGGGCACCCAGGCCTGGCAAGAACACAGTCAAAGAACAAACCAAGAGAAGGAAGTTTGTAATCAATGACTTTTTATCTCTTGAAAATGGAAGCAAATATTTGGACAGATAACTATGGCCGCTCTATAAGAGCGCATCTTTCAGGACGTCGCTGGTTCTCTTCTGGGATATCGCGGCTACAAAAAGCTTCAGGCACTGACTCTGGCTGAGCCTGGCGAGGCATCATCAGTTCATTTAAATAAAGCACAAGCTATAAGCTCACAGCCACGGCGGCCATTCCTCAAACCTCCACCGCACACCAACCCCATCTGGGCACCTCCATCCAGCGGTTCGGAAACTTATTTCCCTCCAATTCGAAAAAAAAAATAAAATAAAAGTTCTCCCCAAGCACACAACCACCCTGAAGTCACACAAATCAACACAGAGATCACCGATTCGGGGGGAGTGGAACGTTTGGTTTTGACTTCCCAAAAGTAAAGACACATCAGCTCAGCCATATACTGCGGCACAGAAACGTCACCAAACGGCCCCAGGACCCGGAGGGCTGCGACACGGCACCAGCAGTCACCCACACCCCCCACCTAAAAACACTTTGAGGAAGCTTTCGTGCTCTGGGATCATAACACATTCTCTGCCTCTCGCATCTCATCCTCATGCCTCTCTGCTACTTCTCCTAGCTGTCCCCATTCTCACCGACACAGACATCCCTTCCAGCACAGAGAATCCTTAATGGGTAAGGAGTGAACATGCAAACACTGAAAAAAGGAAAACCCCCCCAAAAAAAACAACCTAATGGGGGATTTGAGGCTGTCTATAGCTAACCTAATGGAAAAAAGGATCAGCCTGGATGAAGGGACGCATCCTGCTGCTGCTCTGAGCACACACACAGGCACGCACGCTGCAGCCGTGCAGGATGAAGGACTAGAGCACAGCTGGGAGGGGACTGGGGGCTCATCAGCTGCTGACTGCTTCCCAGATGTTGGTCTGACCCCAACAGGTTTGCTCACGTTGGGTTAGATAAGGGATGCTGGGCACTGCATATGGGCTGCATCAATACAGCAAAGCCTGAGGGCTGGCAGAGTTTGGCTGGGCAGCATCATCCTGGGCACACCTATGGGAACTCCTATGACCAGATATAGAGTCAAGAACATGCCTGCCCCGTGCCCAGACACCCCCCTGGCAGTGCAGACCTCATGTGAGCAGCAGAAACCCAGCGAGGAGCTTGGCGTGCCTTGCACCTTTCAGCTGAGGACCTCAAAGAGGAGGAGAGTTGCTGATCTCATCCAGGAAGAAACCATTTCCTGCAAAGCTTTAAGGCAGGGATGATAGAGGGGGAGAAAAAGATCAACAACAGTCGGAGGCGTTTTGTTTCTGAGATCCATCACGAAAGTTGCCTGGCTGCTCCTAACACTGCTTCGGAAGCAGAGTCCAAATTTCTATCATCAGCACTACAGTCTGGGACAAAGAATTGCAAAGTCACAGCTTTTAAAAGGCTTCTGAAAGCAATGAAGGTGCAGGCACACATTTACAGCCACGCACACAGCACAGGAGCTGGCTGTACGTGTGGCCTGCAGGCTGCTGACACTGCACACCGTAAGCTTTGTGCCCCATCAACACCACTGCCTGCACGGAGGTCACTTCTGCCTTAAAACAAAACCTGGCAATGAGCACACGTCCATTTGGACACAGCTGGGATGGTCCCATACTCTTTTCCAAGGGCAGCACGATGCTGGTTCAGAAGTCCTGCAGGGCGTACAAAGGAGAAGAGGCATTGCGGCACGGATCGCTTCGTTCAGAACGATATATATATTTTTCAACCACGGTCAGAAGGCATTAGGAAGGCAGGAAAGTCACCTCTGAGGGGCTCAGCAGCAGCCACACTGCGAGGGAAGCCGATCTGATTGTTCAACATTGAAGATGTATACAAAATAGCTTCAGTTCTGATCTCTAAACAGTATAAACACCCCCATACACGCACGCGCACACACACACAGTGCTGTCCCTTTAAATTTAAAACACAAATACTGCAAAGTGGCAAATAAAACTTAAAAAAAAAAAAAAAAAAAGAAAGTTTTTTTTTTTTTTTTTTTTTTTTTTTTTGGCAACTTTAAAAAAAAAAATAAATGGTTACGAACAATGTGGCATTGGTCCCTACATCTAGAAAAGATATTTGGGCACAACATGGAAAGAGTCAGAATGGGTTTCTTTTCAAGAATTCATAACATCTGTGAAAAAAAAAAAATAATAAAGACTGTAAAAGTAGCACTTATTCTCGTTGAATTGTTTGACACAGTCACATAAATTCATTAAAACATCAGGGAAAAAAAAAAATTCTTTCACTAAAAAGCTTGGCTTTAATCATCGGCTCTCGTTGACGTGAATTTGGGAGAACAGGAAAGCTCGTACTGGAATGCTGCACGCTGCTGCTGGCCAAACCGGGGAACTGGAATGTGTTGGGCTGGCAGCGCCCGCCAGCCCCGCTCAGTCTGCGATCTTCGCCATCTGCTGTTCCAGCTTGGAAATGCGCTCGTCTTGGTTGGTGATGGTGTCTTTTATGGATTTCAGCTCTTTCAAAATCTCATCCAATTTGGCTTCGTTTTGCTGGAAGGAAAGACACAGCATATATTCGTTATGAGATGGCAGGATTCGGTCCCGCAGAATTCAGTTGTTAAAGCAAAGGGACTTCTCTGGATGGGAGCCTTGCAAGGCTCGAGCATGCTGAACTCCCACTGTGGAATCATTAAGGTTAGAAAAGACCTCTGAGATCATCAAGTCCAACCATCAGCCCACTCATGCTGCTAACCACATCCCTTATGCAAACCCTCCTTGCAGACAGCAGCCTGACCCAATCCCAGCGTGCTGGAATTGCACACACCAGCTCTGTTAGAACTGTTCCTAAGGATGGCAAACAATTTCAGGCCTGCACCCCCATAAACCTGCGGATTTTACTCACGGCGTCTGAGGCATCAGCTGCTTTCTTTGGAGCACTTATGAGATCACTTTTCTTGTTTGCAGCAGGTTTGTTATCCAGTATATTCTTCTTGACCACCTTGAGATCCCTGTTCTTGCCAGGAATGTACCCATGCTTCAAGGAAATGAGAAGGGGATCAGCATTCTTCCCCTCAAACCACTCTTCTGCTTCCAGCGCTGCCTCTGGGCCAGCTGTGTCGGGGTACAGGTCATCCTGGAAGAGGTCCGACTGCAAGGAGAAATGAGTGGGTCAGGAGCTTTGGGGCTGGAAGGCAGCAGTGCTGCACACCGTGCCAGCAGCATCCTGGGCTCACCTTTCGAGGGACTGTCATGATGATGGGCTCACATTTCCGCTCATGAAGCTTGAAGAACCTTTCAAAAAAAGGATAATAATAATAATAATGAAGAAGAGGTGCGACTTGGAGGGAGGACAGTTGACACGCCATGCAGAGGAAGCCTCAGTTCTGCTGCTCATGCATAGCAGTGTACTGAGAAGCAGAGGCAATCCTAAAGAGTCACAGCAGGGCTGCGCTAGAGCAGAGCCCTTGTAAGGCCCAGAGAAAGCTACCTGTGTGCGTGCAGAACTCCCTCCTAGGCACTGCGTGACTTCAGAGAGCACTCTGGCCAGAAGGGCCATCAGAATGGCACAGCCCGCTGCTTGGGCTGTTGAGACAAGCACCACACAAGTGATTTCCAGGTACCACAGCACCAGCAGCGTCCTGCTCACTACACAGCCTTACTCTGAGCCAGTTACACAAACCCCAATCCCTCAGCTCAGCCACTGAGGCACTGCTACTGGAAAATTCATATGCTGCAGACAATTTGTTTGAAGGCTTTGCTTCCTTTCTGACTCTCCTGCTTTCATTAATAACAAGAGGAGGACCAGCTTCAGAAACCACCTCCAGCACATTCCCTACCAGCAGTATGCCAGGAGCCACTGCAGACATCAGCCTGCACCCCCGAGGTGCTTTCCTTTGCCTTACTTTTCTTGGTGATTCTGAACCACATCTGCACACGCTGCTGCTCACAATAAATTCTTGAGACAGCTTCAAACCTGCTTGCTGCATCCAAGCTGGAGATTGGGATCAGCCTTTCTCCTTACCTGGCAATCTCGCACTTGTTCACATCAAGGCCCCTCTTTGGCATGAACCCCATTCCCCTCTGCGGCTCTTTGCTGCTGAAGGTGTTGAGGTAGTGAACATAGGGGGATTCATCCGTGATCTCAAAGTAGCGAATGCTGCTGTCACCCTGCAGGACACAAAAAGATCACTCCAGAGTGAATCCTGCTACGCAGGCATCTCTGAAACAGCAGGAGAGGTAGCAGGCATACGGAACAAGTGCTTCCCATTAGCGGCCTACATTGGATTTACTTGTATGGATCCTCCTTTTTAATTACTTGTTCACCTCTTCTTGTTTTTAGCTCCTCTCGTAGGAAGTCCAAAGCTGCAGCACTCAGAAGTGGGCACTCCAGAGCACTTAATGCCAACAGATTGCTTTTAGAAAGGAGCACAGGTGACCCCAGTTTTCTATTACCTAACCCCACAAAATTAGCATGAGCATTGCTGCGTGCTCCATCACCTTCAAGTGTGAGGATAACACAATCTAAAATGCACTTTCCTCCCATGCTAACGCACAAACATTCAGGTCAACGCCAACAAAAGATGTTTGAATGAAAGCATCTGACTTGCTGAATGAAGAGCAGCTTTACCCATATGAATTCATCTCATAGAAACATCCAATTACACACCAGGCCTTCACAGTGCAGACCTCACAGGCTCTGTGTAGCCCTGCAGAGTGAGGATCAAAGCAGCCTGGAATTTTCAGATTTGTTTACAACTTCATCAGCATCATTCATTCAATCAGTCTACCTCTAAACAAGCCTGGTTATTAAAAGCTTCTCCTCACCTTGCCACACAAGTAAATAATGTTGGTATCTGGGTCATAGAATGGCAGCAGGACCCCATTGCTGGTGTCCATCTCGTGAAGGGCTATTGGCTCCTCCATGTTTTTCTGGAAATTTGAAAAAGAAAATCCTATTGTTACCAAAGAATGGAAAAGCTGATATGAACACAGGATCTGCATCATTAACAGTTCTGTGGAGCTAGAGAACACTCGGCTTCTCCACCCTGAAGGCTCTATGTGTTAGAGTAACAAATGCTGATGTCTTACAAGCTCATCCATTCCCTCAGGATGTTTTAATCACAAGACACATTCAGAGCAGGACCCCAGGCAAGGGGGTCAAGTTAAGGGGAAAGATAGGATGCAGTCATGTTAGTGCGAATCCTGTGCCAGTGTGATAGATTTGCTGCTGTCTTGCTCTGTGCAACTCAAGTACTCTCCCTGCACTTCAGACGTGCAGCTGCCAGCTTCACTTCTGCTCTCAGTGAGGCAGGGGCTGGCAGAAGAAAACCCACTTCCTCTCCTGAGCGAGCATCAAGTCCAAATAACATCAACAAGCTCTGGCACAGGAAGTCTGAGTAGGGTCAGAGAGAAGGAAGAAGCTCAAGTAGATCAACCAAACACAGCAGCTGACTGTAGGTCCTGGTCACCAGCTCAGCTGGGCACTACAACAGCACAGCAGTCGTGGGACAAGAACCTACTGGATTCCAGAGGGCCAGCTGCCGCTCGCTCATGCGGCTGAAGCCGGTCGTGAAGATGTTTCCATCAGCGAGGAAAATGGCTCGCATGGGCCGGGCTCCCTCATGGGTTTTCTCTTTCTCCTGAAATAGATGTGAAGAACAGCCTTTAGCAAGGAGCAGAATGCCCCACTGGTGGTGATTCTCTTTTGACTGCACAGAATGCCAGCAGGACATGCTGCTCCTTCACGATGCTGACTATATGGAGCAACATCCAGCCACCCCTGCCTGATGCTTGAGGGAAGAAAGCCATTACTAAGCTACAAAAGAAGTGGTCACAGCCAGCATGCTTCAGCTTTGCCTATCCAATTCTTACAAGGCTGAAGGAAGGCTTCTTCTCAAGCTACAATGCATACAAGTCTGCTAAATCTCTGTTCTGCATACACAACTTTGAAACTGTAATTATGCAAAAGGATTAGATGTGGAATTACACTCCAGCAGGTTTTAAAACTGAGCCCTCAAATCCCAGTTCAAACACTAATTCCAATAAACCCAGACAAATCCTCCAAGCACTGCTATCCCTCTTGTAATTTCTTTCTCACTTTGAAGAAGATGACTGAACGTGGTGTGCACTGGGAAAAAAAGGTACTTCCTTTATATGCTCTCTCTGCTGAAGTGAAATGACTGCACAAACTTACAGCGATGATTTCTTGTTTCCTGGGGTCAATGATCCGAACTTTTTTGTCTTTGGAAGCTGTACAGATTAGGCTGCCATTGCGATTCCAGCTCACATTGTAGATCACATCCACGTGCATGTCATCCAAGTTGATGAGGGCTTCACCTGTCCCCACGTTCCAGATGATAATTGCATTATCACAACCTGAAAGAGAAAATAAAAGCTAAAAAATCACAGCCGTGATGTGAACTGAAGAAAGCCAGCAGCAGAGAGCAAGGAATAAGACCTGCTGCAGCTGCAGTGCCTCGGGCACTGTCTCTTAAGTGTGCTCTGTGTGCAGCGCCCCAGGCAGCACCACCTCACTTGAATACAGGGTCAGACAGGGGACAAAGTGGACAGAGAAGGCAAAGAGGTGATGTTCTTACAGCTCTGCACATGACAGCACTGGCTGACAGTCACTGCTCTCTCAGGTTATAGAGATTTGCAGCAGAAAGTGGCGTGGATAGAAAATTAGGCAAGTGACAGTAGAAGAAACAGCGGAACATAGCGGGGGGAAAAACAGCAGTCATCAAAAGCTGAGGTCAGCTGTTTCATGAGAATCATTAGGCAGGTGGTTTTGTTCAAGGACCAAACAGCAAGAAGAAAAAGAATAAAGCCTTGAACAAGATGACAGCAAAATAAAGAACAGGACTGCAGCCATAAGATCCCAGAGAAGAGAACAAAAGCACAACGTGCAAGTTAGCAATGCTTCCTAATGCTTAAGGAGGGGTGAAAACATACTGAGGGGAACATAATGATCCCTGTGCACTCCTAAACAGTCCAATAGACATCCAACATCAGTTTGGTGCCACCAAGAGGAAGCCTGGAGGCTGCAGTGACCTGATGGTATCCTCCCGGCCAGGCTGCCTGGACACACACAGCAGGAGTCTGAGCAAGCTGCCTTCTCCTTTCGTGCATTCCCACACTGAGCTTTGTTAATTTAACTGCCACAAAGTCTGCATCAAAGCATTTTTGGGGAAACCAGATCCAAACCAAACCAGCACCTCAGAGAGCCTTTACATCTACCAAAAACACACAGCTCATCTGACAGCCCAGCTGAAACCATTTGCTGCTTTTATTACACTCCAAGCTAAAGGTCATGCTGTGAAAGCTGCAGAGTGAGCTAATGGATAACGACTTTCCATTTTATTTCCATAATGATTTGACTGTTTTTCAGTGGCCAAAAAAATCTCATTGCATAAACTGTACCAGTCGAGGAGGCCATTTGGAAAATACTGAAAGTTTGTGGAATGAAGAGCCAGGCATTGGGACAGCTGACAGCAAAATGGAGGAACAGTTAGGCCTTTTATAAGAAGTACATGAAAAGAGGGATGAGGAGAGTGCATATGAACGCCTCTCAGCTGACGAAACTTGCAGATCAAAGAAAGTCTAACAGTTGTAATCCTGTAATTCATACCTCCAATTTCCTGCTTCTCGCCCCTGTAAACTGAGGGCAATAAAAGGCCAAGGAAGGGGCTGTGAGCCACATGTCACAGTGTCCCTAGGAACTGCCACGGGTCTTGTGATTCCCTGAAGCAGCTGGGAGAGGACAGGAGGAGCCATCAGCTCCCTCTCCTCCAACACACCCAATTGGGATGCCACGGGGATGGCTGCTGCCCACACAGCACTGCCACATACCTGCACTGAGCAGCACGTTGCGCGCCGTCGGGTGCCAAGCCACGATGCCCACTCGCTTCGAATGGCCTTCTAGAACTACCACTGGCTCTGTCAAGGACAGCGTGAGCCCATTCTCAGGAATCTGCCATACCTGGAAAAGGGGAAAAGGAAAGATGGTGAGGCAAAGGGCATCCTTCTGATGAGCACATTAGTCATTCGCTTCACGCATCCTGTGCCAAGCCACAGCAGAAGCCTAGGTTGTCACTTCTCCACATAAATGGGAAAACAGAGGGAGGAGACTTTTGTCAAGGCTGAGTGTAACATCCTTCCAGCACAGCACCTGACTGATGGCTGGTCACACCATGAATCCCCTCCACTGCTACATCCCAGAGCCATACATGTCAGCTGCTGCCTGCAAAGGGCTCAGAAAACATTGCCTCGCTGCTCAATTCCACCTGAACCAGCTGCTGTCCTTTCAAGTTATGCTTGTCCCTCGTAAAGAAGAAGTTGCAGCTACGTTGGGGTTGACTTCTTTAGAAATGCTGGCTGTTTTCTGTCTCACCTACATGGCTCCACATCCTTCCGCTGGTCAGGACAGTGCCAGCCGGGGGGGGAGCATTCCCAGGGCTCTGATCACACCTCTGCAGTCCCAGCTGTGGGGCCAGAACAGCTAAACTGAGCCCAGGTGGTGTCCTCTGCAATGGGCAATGACAGGGGAGAAGATTCATCCCTGTGGCCCAGGGAAGGAGCAGCCCACCAAAGCTTTTGCTGCCATTTAGCACTGGACAACCATATTTGAACTGAGTTTGACCTACATCCGGCATGTTAACAAAAATTAAAGGAGAAGCCTTCAACTGAGCACTTATAGCTGCTGGAGGTAGGTGGCAGCAGCAGAGCACGTTTCCTTCCCTTCTATTGTTCGTTTTTTCTGGAGGAGAAGAGGGATTGCCAAGCCCTGCCCGCAGTGCCCAGCAATCTGTCAGAGGTAGCAGGATGACTCCAAGAGGATTTCAGAACCAGGGCAGCTCACTTCCAAACAACCCCAAATGACTTCAACAGCGCAGCTGCACCCCTGCCTGCACCCTCCAGGGTTTCAAACCCTCCCATCTCCTCTTGCCCAGCCATCCCAGCTGCACCCACAGCACCAGGATGGCATGTGCTGGCTTTCACCAGCAATCACCTTTTTCATCATGTTACAAAAGAGCACGGCAGCATCAGCAACTGCAGACTCCATCTGAGAGCAAAATACACCTTGCACACTGCAACAAGTCAGTGCACCTGCCCATGACAAGGTAACTCCAGGTTAGAGAGCTGTCAGCTCTTATAGGAGCAGCTTTGTTCGTGCCAGCCAGGGAATAAAAGCCTGACAGCAGCAACAGCTAACGCACGTCTGCTGACAGCAGCTCAGAGCTTCAGTCAGTCTGCTAAAACTGGCACTGGCACTTAATGTAATTATTTTACGTAGGTCTCACAGGAACCACCTCCAAAGCCTTAATGATTCTGAGTGCGAATGCTACGCTGCAGGAAATAGCTGCTGCCTGAGGCAGACAGCAGGGAGGAGTGGGAGTGCTGGGGAGGGGGCTGTGCAGGAACAACAGGGACCGTGGGTGCAACCTGGGGCACAGGCAGGAGAGGACCAGAAACAAACAAGACCCAGAAGCCACCCAAAATGCTTTTCCTCTAGATGAAAAGGCCAGGACAGTTAAGTCTGCCAGAGGCAGGCTGATGTGCTGAGGATGGGGCACGGAACCAGAGCTCTGCTCATCCCGAAGTTTGGGGAGTCTTTGGAAATAGCAAACCTTGACGAGCACAGCATCTTCTTCCCCTCGAAGAGACAAAGCTGTTCTTCCACACTGCTCTGCCCCAAATTCATGTGGCCTCACCCCAAGCAGATGGCTGTCCTGAGCCAGGGCAGCTTTCAGAGCCACAGCTCCAGCTGTGGGGGACCACCAAAGGAAGGGTGGGAGAGGAGAGAGGGGGGAACTGCAGGCAGAAACCAATAGAAGGGATTTTTAAGAAGCCTCTGGAGGACAGAGATATGTTTTTTTCCTTCAAGGAAAAGAGGGAAAGCCCCTATAGCTTACAGCAGCTGCAGGCCAGTGTAATCCCCTGCAGATTACACAAACTATTGACCTAATAATCCTGCTCGGTATTGCAAAAAAGCCAGGAGTGTAAAAGGTCGGGGTGTGCTCCCGAGCGACCCGGCCCAGCATTCCTGCGTGGGGAGGGAACCTCCCTGTGTGGGATGGAATGGGCACAGCACAGCTTCCCACGTGGACGCCTTCACACTGCATGATCAAATGAAGGCTTTCACCTGCATCCCTGCAGGAGCAGGCAGAGAGCAGCCATTCTCACTGCTGCAAGGGCTCTCCTTTCATTTGAAACCAATTTGCTCCGTGGAATGAACTCTTCTCTGATTGTTAACAAGAAGATCATTAGTGTTCACCTTCTGATGAAGCAAATTTTTCCTATCTGAGAAGGACCATCTGATACCATTTACGAGCCTTTCCAGAATCAAACGTTTTCCAGCTGAATTAAACAGCCTTCAGTACGTTACAGTCATTCAGCAGAGCACCAGGCATGAATATTTAAATAATTCCTGATTTGTTGGCACAAGAGAATCCTTCTTCAAAGAGAAGCCACAGAAGGTATCCGCATGCCTCTGTGTTTTCAAAGAAGTCTTTCTGAGAACAGTGTGGAGCAGAGAAGATGGGGATGCCCCACTGGTATCAAAAAAAAAAAGATGCCTGCTTTTCCAGTGCCCTAATGAGCCCAAATAATTACCTGCTCAGATGCAGTTCCCAGGCTATTTTCACCTTACAGACTGACCTTTCTCATTGCTTGGCTGGATGGATTCTCAGAGCCACGTTCTCCCCCTCACCACGAGCCTAGCTGATGCTGATGGGTCCTGTTGTGGAACAGGGTCAGATCCTAAATCCTTAAGTGTCAACATACAGATGGCCTCTGACAATTTAAGTTACTTTTTAAAAGCAGCTGGTGCTTCTGCAAAAAGCCACATCATTTCCCTCCACTGCATCACTGTTTTTTGCATTTTCTGTTGGCTAATGAACAGTTCAGAGTTGAAGAAGTGCTACATATCTCTCAAAGGAATTAAGATGAGTTTATTCAGCGCCAGGCTGCTCAGGAAGCAGGACTCCAAAAACCTCTGCTGAAGAAAAGCAAGGAAAACAGGATGCGGAACAACTTGTGCCAAGCCAGACAAGCAATTAAAGCTGGGACAGCTCAGCTCACCGGCTCATCCAGTTCCTCTCCCAAGCAATGCAGGCCAGCCGCGTTCTTTACAATCTCCAGCTCTCTGTCCAGCCCACTTCATACGTGTCCCAGACGACTTGCCCACCAGAAACTACACAAGACCTAACAAGAGGCTCAGCTGAGCTTTCAGCCAGCCCTCCTCGATTTCACCTCCACTGCTTTCAGTGCAATTTCACAGCCACCATTTCCCAGAGCCACACATACGGGGTGTGGGGACAGGATGGGCAGTGACCCTGGAGCACACAAAGCCCTGCTCTGTGTGGACGGTGTTGTCTGCTCACCAGGAGAGTGTGGACAACTCGTAATTGAACACTGTCAGTTTTTCTCCACAATTCAGTCCCTCTGGAGCCTTGCAACATACTTGTCATTGCACTTGGATTAGTGACTTATCTTGCCTCTCCAAAGCAGCTATGGACTACAGCTTCGTCTGCTTCTGTTGATGCTCATGTTTCAGAAAGCATTCGTTCTGACTCACAGCCCTTTTGGATTCTGGTTTCTAGAGGAACAAAACAGCATCCTTCAAAGCTCAGTTCTAGCCCAGTAGTGACTGTTACAAACACAGAAGCTTGTTGTTTTGTTTAATATTAAATATAGTAAGCTTTGTTAACATGCTTTGGCTTCCAAGACAGAGAGATCACAGGCAATGCTGTCCCAGCATAAGCCACTTGGGATGAATCCCCTCCCAAACATTTTAACGATGAACAGAAGCAAAGGAATTTATCTGACATGATCTATAATAAGATTTCAATATAACATTCAGCCTACAGCATTTCTAAATATGGCCAAAGATCACTGAAGTTATTTGGCATTATTTCATCTTACAAGCATTTTCTTTCACTTATTCTGCTGTGTTTGCATACACAGGATTCCACATCCATCACTGAGCAAGGTCGTCTATTGTTCAGTGCGTAAAACAGGACTGGGGACCAAGGCTGGCAGGTGTAAAAATTGGATCGCTATTAATATACTTAAACAAATAAAAATACATTTTAAGAAATCCCAAACTTTTGACATCTATTCACAACCTTTGACTAGGAAAAGATGTTTCAACTTTAAACCAAGGGCTGAAGCAATTATGAAAGCAGAATAGCTTGTTCCTCCCTCTAATCTCCACGGCTTTGCAGCACACGCCACCACATCCATTTGGATACCTGAGATTGGGAACCTCCTCCACCTTCTGTAAAGCACTGCAAACCAAACCAAGCCACTACTGAGTGGCACGCTGCCTTCCTTCCCTTCCCAAACATCAGATCCCCAGAGGAAGAACTGCTCTTCTACTAGCCCAAGAGAAAACCAGAAAGTTGGATGCCAAGGTAGAAGGCACCTCAGTTCTCAAGCAGAACCAAAATCCACTACAGAGAATGCCCATAAGCAGTCCTCCAGCAGAAAGGATTCTACCTTTGGTATCAGGACAGGAGACAGCCACATGCATTCAGAAACATAAGCACCATTTGCAGCATCACTCTCAGCATGAAAGCAGGTCCACTCACCATGACAGTGCAGTCCTCAGAACCACTGGCGATGACCTGGTCGTTGTGGGGACACCAGTCAATGTCCAGCACTGGTCCTGTGTGCCCGCACACCGTTGGGTAGGACTTGTCAATTCGGCCCGTCTGGAGGAGAAAAGCAAAGAGGAGAGCTGTGATATGTTGACAATACAGAGCACATCTCAAACAACAGAAGAAGACTCCTCCTAACGCTTCACTGAGGCTTTTGGTATTCAGTTTTATGGCATTTGGATTATCTTGTGCACCAACAGAGGAGACGAGCCGGCGACTTTCTTCTTGGAGACATCCTGTGGTGCAAGCCAGCTCTGCTCGTGCTTCATGACAGTGGGCAGCCACAGCTAAAGATAACCAGGCTGCAGCTCTAATTGCAGGGTGCTGCAGCGCTTTGAATTCACCAAGCCTGCTCGCTTTCATCCCAAAGGCATTTTGCTGAGATGGAAAGCATTTAAGGCACAGTTAAGTGAAGCAAAGCACTGTGTTACAGGACTAAATGACAAAAGTGATCCACCGACTGCCACAGCGACGCCCTCACTGACTCCCACCCGCCTCTATGGCACACCTCAGTGCCACCAGCGTGCCACCAAAGTCAGCTCCCCAGCAGAACAAGCCAACAAAATACCCCACATGAGATGGATCCAGCAATGGCAACACAGCACCCCTTTCACATCCTGAAGCCAGAGCAAGATTCCCATGGCTGCAGGGCCAGGAACTGCAGCCCCTCCCCTAAAGGATTTTGCTGCCCACATGGATGCATCAGCAAAACACGGCTGACGGGAGGCAGGGAGGGAATGTTTTGGGACAGATTCTTCACTTCTTGTGTTTAAATATGTGGAAGAAATGGTTGGCATTTCAGTTCTACCACTTGGTGGTGACAGCCTCAGCCTCAGAGCTGGGCACTCCTCCTGCTGATTGCCATGCAGAAGGCTCTCCCTGCTCAAAGCTGGAGGGTCAGAAACAAGCTGGATGTGGGCTTTGGAGGACTGCTGACCTCCAGACCTCTCCTGGTGAGAAAACAAGACAGAGATCCAACAGACTCAGAGTTAAATCACAGGAACACCACAACAGACGTTTCCTGAATGGCCAAATTCAGGTTAAAAAGTAAATAAAAATGCTACAGTGAGCAGCAGCAGACATCCATCTCTTGTACTGCACACCTCTCCCATCTGCACGTGGACTGACCTATGGAAAAAGATTCTTAATGAAGGAATAAAGAAAAGGAAAAGAAATGGGCAGCCCCATCCCCTGCACAGCCACTATGCAGAAAAAGGCTTTAAGATTTATTTGGGGTGGGGGAGGTTAGTCAAAAGTGAATTCTTGGACTAAAGTGCTTCCGCAGTCCTCCCAGGTTTGAGAGTTTGGTTTTGTTTCCTTTCTTTCTTTCTTTTTTTTTTTTTTTTAATGTAATCTTTTAATTAGTTAAGGATTTAAAATAAACCTCAAGCGCTGATACAGAGCTTAAAATTAACTCAGTATGACTTCAAGAAATTAAATCCTTCTCAAAATCCATTACCGCTCTGCTTGAGCGACGCTTCACCGTAACAGCTTTTGATGCTCTAAAAGTTGTGCTTTGAGAAGAGTTATAAAAGCCATAAAAAGCCTTGAGGACCAGCCCTGGTGTGCTGGATGGTGCTGAGCTGGAGCACGCTCAAAGTTCAGGTCCTTTAGCAGGGGTGGGCTGCCCTTAACAACTGACAGATAAGAACAAAAAGCTCTGTTATTAAATCCATAGGGGTCAGATAAGCAGCACGGGATAACCATTCCCAGCAGCGGCAGTTTTATCAATTAATGTGATTGTCTCCCAACTGCTTCTATGCCAGAAAAGGGTGACTGGCTGCAGGAAACAGCCCCCAGATGGTGGTAAAAATATCACTGGGAACAGCTGCTTCCCCCAGGCCAGGCTATGCTCACCACCACCAAGAGGGAAGTGGCATTGAGTTGCACAAGGAGCAGCGATTTCACCACCCTCACTTTGCAGAAGTCTAAAGAAAGAAATCAGGTTGCAAGCACCAAGACTGAAAGACAAACTGACCGCTACCTGTCTTCCCTGAGCCGTGTGACAATCCCCAATTCTGCAAAATTGGATGGAGTGAAGCACTCTGGGCACCGATCTTCCACCTCTGGTTGCAGCAGCTGGCCACACACGTAGCGCTCAGGGAAAATAATATGGGACGCAATGGAAGTGTACTGCTCTCTCGTGACCGTGACAAATAGCCATTAGTCACTGCTAAACCAATCACAGTATCCACAGCTAATGTGGAAGATGATGAAGAGAGATGCTGATGGCTCAGTGCAGCGATCCCTTCCATCCTTGCCTGCAGCCACCGAGCTCAGCTTCCACCCTCAGTGCTGCACAAGGCTTGAAGAGCTGCAGCAGCCTTGCCTTGCACTGAGCTCTACCTGAGCATAAGGCAGAGGGGTAACAACGCTTGCCCTTCAATTTCCTACAGAAGTAAGATTTCTGGAGCTTTAGTGCCTGCCTGCTCTTCCTTAGTTCATCAAGAACCTGATGATCCACTGCACTAAAGCTGATGGTCATAAATGAAAACCATTAATATCTTGCTTTTTTTATCTAGTTGTTGCACGGTTGTCTTCAATTCTCATCTTCCCCCACTCAACATACACCATTGCTTGGGGCTGTGTGAGAATCCAAGCAAAATTTAGGGGGAAAAAATTGTGGCCTTCAGAGAGACAGAAGAAGTCCGCAGCCTCACGGTAGAAAGGCAGCACTTCCCATTTGGAGGCTTTATGTAACGGCTCACGCTCTGCCACCACAACTGAGAACTCCCTGCAGCAGCACTTTCTTCTTTGCAAGCTGCAAAGATTTTGCAGAAGGGGGAAAAAAAATGGTCCCCAGTCCCCACAAAGCACAGCCCCAGCACCACGGTGTTTGTGAGCCACTTTCCCAGCACATCAGGAAACTCCCAGCTATCAGCTGTATGGAGCTGCAGGAGCAGGCTCCAAAGGAGCTGCGTGCAGCTTGCTTGTGAGGATCGGTGCACACCTCCTCACTGGGCTCCCTCCCTGCACATTCACTGGGACCAGGATCCCAGATCAGCTCTGCAGTCCTGCTCTGCACCGCTCTGCTCAGTGCCCATCACACACAATCTGCAGCAAACGCGCTGTTTCCACTCTTCTTCCCCGACGCGCACAGCTCACTCCAATTAGCCTATTATCTGCGCTCCATAATGGATACAGATTAAAGCACTTCACCTACGGATGGCCCCGCAGAGCGGCCAACCCGCGGGAATCGCAATTCCCAGCAAGTCTGGAGGCTCCTGCTGGCGCACGGGGACGGTGAATCCCGGAAGGCCCACGCACAGGGCGGGACGACGCAGCAGCCCGGCGGCACCCAACTCCGCTGACCGCAGCCCCGGCCACGCAGCGGTTAACCGGCTCGCACTTGCCGCGCATTGGCTCGGCCCCCGCCAATCAGCGCGGCGGCTGCCGGCGGCCCCGAGCGCTGTCATGACCATATAAGGCAAAAAGCCGCGGTCGCCGCAGTGCCGCTGCGGCGGGCGCGGGAACGCGCGCGCGCGGCGCGGGAAAGGGCGGGGGAGTGACACGTGCGCGGCCCGGAACCGGCAGCGCCCGCAAAGCACAGCGGGCCCCGGAGGGGTGAAGTGCTGGGGAACCAGCCGCAAAGCGGGGCATGGAGCCGGTGCTGCGCGGGGTTCCTGCGGCCTTTGCCGTGCTGACAGCTCCCGGAGGTCAGACTGTGACAGTGATGCCCCAGGAGGTGGAAGGGGGCTGCTTTCCCTGTAGCTGGAGCTGCATCAGGTGTTAAACGTTAAAAGCATACCAAAGGCAAGGTGTAGGACTGCTTTCATCTCCAGAACAAAACAGCAAGCACTATGCTGTGGGAACTCAAACACCTGTGCTAAATGGACTCAATCAGAAGTCAGAATGGCGGGGGGGAGGGAGGAGCGTTCAGGGAGCTGAAGGAGCAAGTGTCATCGCTCACAGAGGCAGAAATAAAAGAGGAACACAGGAAGTGATAGAGCACAGCCCACAGCGTGCTGTGCTGCAAAAGAAATCATCAGGCTGAGGGATTTGAGAGCAGCGGTCCTCAGCAACCAGCCATGCCCAAACCTTATCACATCAGAACCTTGGGGAAGTGGAAAACAGAGCAGGAATGTGGCTGAGGACACAAGTGAAGCCAAAGGATGGCAGGAGGAATCACTGACTAAATGAAAAAAATATATAAAAATAAACAAGCCACCAAATAATAACACATAGCAAGGGGAAAATAGGAGCCTGTCCTGGCAGGGCTGAGCTGCAAGGCATGCAATGTCACAGCAACTGAGCAAGGGGCTTCCAACCCAAATCTGTGATATGGGACCAGGCTTGGGCAGGAGCAGGACATACAGCTTGAGGGCAGCCACATCCCAGAATGCTTGCAAAGAGCTGCTGAGGAGATGAGCAAAATGCAGAGCTGTAGAAGAGCCCGGGGGCTGGCTTGCTTCATTATAGCTAGCAAGGCAGAAGTGAGAACTTGCCACGTCTGCTCCTGTGATGCACTCTCCATCAGAATGCTGTATTCACTTCTGGTCACTTCTGCTATTTATAACAGGACAGATCTGCACAGAGAGCTAGGAAAAAGGGCTGATAACAGACAGAGCATTTGGAGAGTACGGCTAAGAGAGGCGTGAGGGTCACAAAGACAAAATGTTACTGAAGAGGAATACTAGCTTTTCTTTTTTCCTGATTCACACAAATACAAAATGCCATCTCAAACAAAAAATAGGAAGGATTTGAAAGAATGAGGAAACACCAGGAGATGCTGGAACACACCACAGAGCACGCTTCCTGATCTGGTGCTCCTCTGTTGGAAAGAACCCTTTTTTCTAAAGGGTTATGAACCCAAATCTAACTGCTTCTGTAAAGCAACACCATCAAAATACTTCAGCTTTAAGTCTGTATTAAAATCAGTTTGTATCAGTATTGGACTACTGATTCTATCTAACATGGCAAGAATTTACACTAAATGCATAAACGAAGCCAGGCGTGCAATTTCAGAAGCATCAAACACGCAGAATTGAGGAGAGCAAGAAACATTGTCAGTACGATCCCCTATCACTCTCAAGGACATTCATTTCCCTTCTATCTCATCAAGCTATCCATCTTACACATTGTAAATTTTCAAAGGAGAAAAAATTCCTGTGGAAACAAATCACTAAGATGAAGTAATGCATTTAGGTTTGATGTTTCTCGCTTTTGTTTTTAACTATGAACACATGAAGGGATTGGGGTGGCCAAGAGCCTGTCAAAGGTTTTCAGGTTAGCATTCTTGTAATCTGACTGTGGTAAACGCCAGCACATCAGAAAGGGAGAGGAGAGCAGCACTCTCCTGCAAGGATGAAAGATGTACTGTGGTTTTTCCACGTGATACCTGGGGGCAGAATGAATTTATAAGAATTTATTTCAGTCTCAGACACTGCTCCTGCTCATTTGTACAGTCTTATACCATAAAATTATGAGACTGGCAGGGAGATTTCCATGGCAATCTTTACAGCTTCCTCCAGCTATTTGATGCAGCCATTTTTGTATCCGGTGGGCAGCAGCCTATCATTTCTGTGTGCTTTACAAAGCATTGGCCTGAGGAGCTACAAAAATATTCAAAGGAAAGAGAAGTAAATTGTACATATAGCCTCATTGTGAGATTTTTTCTGGAGACTGAGCAGCATTTGGCACAGAAAAAGTAAGGAACAGACTAAGACGAAGCTTAGTCTGCTTCTCTCTGCATCAGGTACTAAGGGCTAGCAAGACCTGGCTGCAGTGTCAGAGCCCAGACAGAGCCACACGGGCTGGGAGAGCAGTGACAGCCCTGGAGCTGCTGTCTCACTGAACTAGTTCTCGTCTCACACCACACAACAGAAGTGTAACGACAGGACAAGCAGCAGCCAGACCAGCTGTGCCATGGTCGCAAGGGCTGTGCACATGCACTGCAGGGAGCAGCACCCAGCTGTGCCACCCACTCCATTCTGGTTTGCAAGAAGCATTCCTGAATTTAGTGATTCTCACGAAGCTCAAGGAGCCAAATCCTAATGGCCAAAAAACCTGACTGCAGCTAGCACAAATAGAGAGGCTTTAGGAAGAGCACGAGTTCTACTCAGAAACCTCTGACATGAAGATTTGCTTTAGATCAGTCGAGCAAACTACTTATTTACTGTGTTTAATGCACGGGAAGCGTTACCCTGATTCCAGCAGCATTACATGTGTTCCTACACGGCACAGCCGAGCAACGTTTGTCACAACACAGCAGAGACTTCACAGCCGTAGCGCCGCTCACAAACAAGCACTGAAGTGACAAGGGAAAGCTGAGCACGTTAACAGCAAGAAACTCAGCAGCACTCACCTTGTGCAAAGGCAGCACCAGGAAGGCCCCGCCGCCGCTCGCATCCACGATGATTGCAACAAACCTGGGGTTCACAGCACAGAAGGAGCTGTCCCAAGTGACGCGAGAGACACGGATGTCATCGTAGCACTGGTCGTTCTTCACTGCCTGGCCAAACACATGCCGGAATTTGCTCTGTCGTACCACTCGCCTCATTGTGTCTGTAGAGAAAAGGGATGGCAGAGGGTGGTCAGCCACACGTAGGGATGTGCTGCTTGTCAGAAGGCAAGTCAAGGGCTTGTCACCTCGCTGTCACCCGGCCCCACCGCTACACAATGCAGTTTCACACACTGCTGCATTCACAGGGAGCTTCCTGCAGACCTGCTAAGTTCTCAAGTTGTTTTACATTTAAAAAACAACACAGGTTGCCTCATCCCTGACACAACCAAACCGCACGTTCAAGGCTGTTTCATAGAAGGAGCTCACTGGTTAAGTGTCAGCACTGCTATTGTAGACGCTCTTTCTGCAGCAAAGGAAGTCCCTAATCCTAAAAGCAGTTTTTAGACAAGTCTCCGCATATTTTCAGGGATAAATCTGGGCTTGGATTGAACTTGTTTACTTTCAAGTCAGACAGGGTCCAGAAGACGTAAATAAAAATGCAAGCTCTCAAAATCCGGTGTTCCTGTGAAGTGGTTCCACATGTCAGCCAGCTTCCACTTCTTTCTTCTCACTCCAAAATCTCACAAAAAAAAAAAAAAAATTAAAGTTTCCTAGGCAGAAAGGAGTAATGGAAACAACCTAATGACTCAAATTAACTTAGCGTGTCTGTAGCACTTCTCTTGAGACAAGGATTTTCAAGAAGGCTTGAGTTAAAATAGAGGGAAACTGACCAGCATGGAAAATTCCAGTGCTGGATGAAGACTCAGGTAGGGGACCTCGCATGAATCCCAACCCTGGAAGCAAGCATCCACCTCCTGTCTTGCTTCCCAGAAACTTCCCATGTGGAAACAGCGCTGGGAAAGCCACAGTGCTTTGCAAAGCTGCTCCCTGCAGACCCAGGCTGATGCCCAAGTGAGAGACTGAGCAGGGTGCAAATGTGCATCTCTGCTTTTTGGTGATGAAAGGCTGTGCATCCATCTGACTGCAGCGTCTTTGCGTGAGAGCACTGAAAGAGACTGCAGAACGAGCGCCGTTTGTAGTCGTGAGGTTACAAAGAGCTGCAAAACTGGAGCAAAGCACTCATCAGAGCTGGGAAATCAGCAGTCACACGGTGTTTGAAGAAAAGAAAAACGTTACAATTAATGTCACAGACAGCTATAGAGCGAAACGCTCCGCTCTAGGTGTTTGAAAGAAAAAAAGCACTCTGCCTGCTTCTCATGAGATCCCTCTGAGCACCATGCAGCCCCACTGCCCCCTGCCATCACAAGGTTCTGCCCAGGTGAGGGCACAACAAGGATGCTTTCTGATGGTCTGTTCAATCTCTCAAATGAATTCCGTCATTTTGAAGATACAGAAGTGCCACAAACACCATTTTGTAATCACAGGGTTGTAGAATGGTTTGAGTTGGAATGGGCACACATCTCTAGCAGTGCTCACAGCCCCGTCCCTTGACCGTGGCTGTGTGCAGGGATGGGGCACCACCAGCTCTCTGGGCATCCTGTGCCAGTGCAGCTTATAGGAAAAAAAGAAGAAAAAAAAAAAAGCAATTGTAATTTTTAAATGCAAAACATTGTGAACTATTACAATTCCCAGATGAAAAAAGCTGGATGCAACTTATTAATGATTACTGTCACCTTCCAGATGAACTTAGGCTTCCTCTGTCAGTTAGTGCGGTTGCACAACGCACTTTTCTGCCACACATTGCACTTAAAACCACAGGGCTGCTCTGGGCTGGGCACACCCAGCGACAGCACAGCGCAATGGAAGCCACCAAGCAGCAGCAATGTGAGCACGAAGCGCGGCCCGCCAGCGCCATTTTGTGCTCTCAGCAGGCCTCAGCAAAGCCTGACCCAGGAGCACTTCAGCTCAAGGTGCCTGAAAGAAACAAAACGCATCGTCCTATTGCTGCTTGAGGACTGGCGGAGACGTAGCATGCAAGGAACACAGCTCCACACCCAGCTGCTAATCTATTGCATAGATGCAGAGAGGCTGGGCCTACTCCCAGCGAGCCATTAGTGCTGCATGGCAATGGGACACAGAGCTTTGGGTCCACTGCTGTGAGTCCTGCCCTTGGCACTGGTTCTGAGGGCTTCCAGTGCTGCTCCCATCCCCACTACCAGCTACACGCTGCCTTGCTGGTCACATTGGCTCCCTGGTGGGAATGCAGCCTGTTCTCATCCCACCGATGTTTCAGAAGAAAGTAAAGAGAGGGCTTCGAGCTGTCTGGTGGAGTTAACGTGCAGCAAACTGCCCACCATCAACATATGGTACATGCAGGGGTTTTCTGATTCGTCTGCTTTAATGCTAAGAACATGGATAGGGCGGTTAATAAGAGGGATTGTTTGTATAGCTTGGATAATTATATCTCTCCTTTAGTTCATCAACACCTGAATACCATAAGGAAGTCCCTCTCAAGCACTCTATTTTCTCCAGTAATAAAATCCTACTATGCTATTTCCCTCATTTTTACCATTTCCCAGGATTTTTTGCATTTGAAATTTCTTGTTTTCCACAACTGACATTTAAAATCACAGAGAGCCAGAAGTATCCCAAAATACCCCTATTTGTTCCAAACCGATTTGTTTGAGCACACCTTCACTGCCCTCTTCCCCCACCTACAGCTCATCATTCTTAGCAGGAGCTCTCCATGATGAACACATGGTGAACAGCCTCTGAGTCCTCATTTCCATAGCAAAGGGAGTGATTCTTGGCTTTGGATCACAGCCATTTTGATCTGGCTGCTCTCCAAAGAGAAGTGGGGAAAAAAATAAATGTGCAGGCTCCAGCTATAAAGAGCAGCAAGTATGGATCTTCCCGCACAGCACAGAAAGTGGGCAGGTGGAAAACAACACGGGTTAGCTCGATCCTGAGCACCAAGAAGAGTCATCCTATCCCTATGCCAGCCTCCTGTGAAAATGCAAAGAGCGTTTAGTATCCTAATTTGTCTCTCAGTGAAGTGTGAAGGATCGCTCTTCCACCACCCACAACACGAGCAGAATTTGGAAGCTCCTTCCCTGGGGACACCCAAGGTCAGGGGATGGGGCACTGAGCACCTGATGGAGCTGTGGGTGTCCCTGTGCACTGCAGTGGAGTTAGATCAGATGACCTTTAAGGATGCCTTCCAATTGAAGAGATGCTATGAATCTAATCTGGTAACTGGGCTGGGACAGGTCCTCCTGGTCATCAGCAGAGGTAGGGCAGCACTCAGCCTGCCCACTCGCAGGATCATACAGTGAAATGCCAAAATTTATGCCGATCTGATGTCTGGAAAGAGTGATGCAGCCTTCAGTATCTGCAAAACCCTGCAAGGCTTCTGGGAGCCAGAGCACATCCACAGCCAAACAGGGCTGGGCTTGGGCAGCAGACTCAGCGTTAAGCTTTCAAAAGAGAAGGATAATTAGATCGTGGTCGCTGCCGCTAAATCTGAGCTGAGGAACTGGAACGATCTTCGTACACTTGCTAGACAGGAAATGCTTTTTTTTTTTTTTTTGTAAAGTACAACTTTGGAGGATTTAAAGCCTCACTGCTGTGAGTTGAAAGGAGTTTGAATTTTGCCAGAGTTACAGCCCTCAGCAAAATGAGAACAGAAGCGCTCGACGCCCTGCAAAGACAGCGACAATAGAAGTGCTGACAGCTCTGTGCCTGAACTGATCTCCTGGACCTGCTTGGGGGCACCGACATCTTGCATGTCCTGTACAGGACACAGCCATCCACCTTCAGTCTTTTCCTCCCCAAATGTCAAGTGACATTCAGCTGAATTTTACTTCGCATTCAGCTCCGTCTCCCACTGCCATATGGTTCAGGCTCCGGCCTTTGTTCCAGTCTTTAAAAGGATCTCAGAAATGCAGAATGCCATCAGCCATACTTGCACAGTGATACTTTTCATCCTGTTTCTTTCTGATCTCCCATCATGATGTGTCACAAGAGTTACCATGAGTTTGCCCATTTTCCTGTTTATAAAGGATTTATCTGTCTAGAGAAACCAACAGATGTATTTCTGTGGCTTCGGAGGGTTTTCAGGCTGCTTATGCAAGAGGAAACGCATCCTGCTAGGGAACACTTACAGGAAAACCCCCCACTAATGGCAAAATCCTGCTCAGCCCATGTGATTGTGATCCCTTCTGGAAAGAGCGACATTTGAAAGAAAGGGCTGGATTCAGGCACAGCCAGCCGGAGGCTATGGCTAAGGGAGGGGGGTACAAAGCAACCAGCCTGGGAGAACGGCGCTTCCTTATAAAACGCTGCTTCTTTTGGGGCTGGAAAGGAACAGGGCTTTCCCTTAAATGGGAAACTTGAAGATAAGCAAGAGTTGCATCTGTTTATGGTAAGCCCCAAACTCCATTCAGCACCAGCTTTATTGAAGGGATTCCATGCGCTTCAACGGCGGCTTTGAAATAAATTCAGTCTCAGATAACGATCAACAAATGCAAAGCAGATAAGGAGAATGACCAAGTCACTGTAGGCAATGTTACCAGAGCAAATCACTATTGATGCTCACCATGAGAGGACACCTGCCTTGCTGCTGACATGGAGAGTCCCTTGTGTCCCTGCCATGATGCTATCTCTCTACGTACGATTCTCCCCCAGCAAGGGGATGGTGGGTGTGTGACTGCTCCATCCCAACACATGTGAGGATGGGAGCAGCTGAGCACTGCCCAGGTATTTCCTAATCTCACGCTGGCATTTCTTCATCTTGGAGTGCTGGGTTGTGCAACCTCAGCACATCCTCTGTGAGCCACGCATGTGTGCTGAGTGCAGTGCAAACATACATCTGCCCGCAGACATATGCTTCACAGCCTTACCATACTGCACAGGACAGCACCTTAAGAACATCTCAGAGGAACATCCAGCAAAAGGAAAAGCTTGCCAGATCATTTTAAGGGCACGGATCACTAAGCCCGAAGCAGCGTGCCAACCTGCAGGAGTTAACCAGGCAAGCAGTGCTGGCAGGCTATGATGGGTTGCACAGGCTGCAATGTACAACGGCAGTCAGAGTGCAGAACCAGCACAGCACCAGCAAGGCTGCAGGAGCTCATCTCCCTTCCTGAGCAAAATCAATGGG